CACAATCCCCTACCACTACTTGGATCCCAAGCTGTGCAAGGCCTTAGTGGTGAGAACTAGTGTGGTTCACTGAATTGTGGCTGGAAAATGGATCAGAATATTTTGAGCACTGGCGAGATGTGTTCCTAATGACTGGTCCTAGTTAACAATTTAGTGGCTATAAATTTTGAACTAACTTGTTTCAGAGCAGTCCTCAAAAGCAGCCTCACTTATGTTGCATTGCAGTAGTCTAATTTAGAGGTTACCACAGCCAGGCCAAACTATCTCTGTCCAGGAAGGTCACAATTGGAGCTTCAGTCTCAGTTGATAAAAGGCACTCTATGCCACCAAACCATTTTTGCCTCTGGCTACAACAATAGATCAGTGAAAACCTCCAGACTAAGAGCTTGGTCTCTTGAGGGGATGCAATGCCATCCAGAACAGTTTGGATACAACTAACAAGATGAAGCACCAGTCAGCAACATCTCTGTTTATCAGGATTGATCTTCAGTTTGTTAGCCTTTATCAAGTTACCAAAGTTAAAGTTCATCTATCCTGGATCAAGACTGTTAAAGGGACCATCTTCTCCCTTATGATCTTGCCTGCCTGCTCACATTCTCTGGGGAGATTATATCTCATCACTATGAGTGATATGGATGGCAGGAACATCAGAAAGGGCCTTCTCTGTGGCAGTACCGAGGTTATGAAACATCTTGTCCTGGGAGGTCCACCTGGTGCCTTTCCTAATAATGTTTTTGGTAGCCAGTGAAGATCTTTGTTTTTGTTTTGTTTTGTTCTGGAAGGCTTTAGGCCTTTCTGGTCTTTGTTTTTTTTTTTTTTTTTTTTTTCTTTTTTTTGCAATTTTTATTTTTTTTTTTTTTTTTTTTTTTTCATTCCTTTTTCTGCAAAGGTGATAATTTTATCTGCCTCTTGTGTTGCTGTTTTTAATATGCTGTGGTTAAATTTTAGTATTAACTGCTTTGGTCATCTCTGAGGCAGGGTGGAAAGGTAGTAGACAGATCCATATATGACTTTTCAGGGTTAAATTTTAATTGTGCATACACAAATAGAAACATAGAAACAGAATGAGTCAGAAAGGGTCTCCAGGACCATCTAGTCTAACCCCCAACTCCAGCCGGCTTTGCTCATGTTTACGATGTGCATGTCCAGCCTATCCTTAAACACCCTCAGTGATGGGGCTTCAGCCACCTCTTGTGGAAGCCCATTCCATGCCCTAGGCTTCCTAACCTTCAGGAAGTACTTCCTGGCATCCACCTTGAATCTTGGTTCCCTGAGCCTTGCTCCATTGGAGCAAATAGTTAAGAGTCCAAATTTATTCTTGCCCAAACAACTACAGTTCCTGCAGTAAGTATTGCGTGAGTACTTGTTCTGGCATGCACTTTTCCCCTGAACATTCCAAAGGTTTCAGCTGGTGACTAACAATAATATTCTGTATCCTAATATGAACTGGCTTGCTGGGAAAGCATTGAGTTGGTGCTGAAACCACTCTCTCTGTTGTGTTCAGAGCAGATTTGTGATGCTGGGTTTATCTCAGATGCTGTCCTCTTGTGCTTTCTGAGGTCTGTACAAGGAATTCTCCTTATGCCAGGTTAATAGGCATATATGTATAGGGACTCATTCTTAATTACCATTTTCTCCCTTTGGAAATTGTGTGTTTGAGCATCTTCCAGAACCATTATAAGGCCTGTTTATGGGGAAGGAAGATTGGTTTAGTCGGATCTGCAACAAAATATTGAAATGTATCCTCACCTTTTGCTTGGTGCAAACTCTGCATTTAAAATAATGTAAAGCAATTAGCATAAGATCCAGTTCTATTCATTGATGATTCTCATTGCCCAAGTAATAGACGGAGGGTTTACTCAGGCAGGGCTGATGTTTCTCATTTTGCAGCAATCTTTTGGCCCTTTTAATACATTTACTTGGGCAGTGTTCAGCTTTACATGGAGGAGATGTGGATAAGCCTTTTCATTTACTGTACACCTAGGGCAGGAGTAAGCAATCCAATACTGTCCAGATATTTTGGGTGACAACTACCATCAGCTGAAGCCAGCATGTCAATGGTCAGGGATTATGGCAGTCACTTTACCCCTGAGCTAAAGTAACACATGAGCCTGTAACAATGCATGTTCCAGACTCATATTTTACATTTAGATATGTGGCAGAAGGGTGTGTTTGTGGGTGCATGTGCTGCTATGAAAGAAGATTGTTGGCTGGACTAGTTCAGAGATCCACTGAGATGCAAAATACTGATCACTGATGTTATATATCAAACATTCAAATAAAGTACTTTTAAAAATTCAAAATGCTGTGGGCATTGGAGATGTCGCAAAGAAAAATTGATATAATGCATTTGCATAATCTTAATCTTTGAAGGTAACACATGGCACTGATCTTAGTGTAGAGTGCTAGGTAAATTGCCCATTATCTAATTAGCTTTGCAACTAATTATTTCACAGCAGGATCAGATTAATCATGGATCTGACTTTAGATTCTGATCCACTAGATCCAAGCATCTGATTCTATACAGTGGAGGAATAGTCCCATCAGTAATATTATCTTTTAGTAATTTTCTACTTGGATTACAAATTCTTGGGGTAAATCTTTGTTAGCTTGTTGCAGCAAAACCAATCTTATGCCACAAAATATCTTTAGAGTATCACAAAACTCTTCATTCTGTTTATTCAGAAGGGCCCTTTGCTCAAGTTAGAATTAGATGAAGGAGATAAATTTGACCAACCTTAGATTCCAGGCTTTAGTCTCCTGTGTCTAGTTGATGTAAACTTTCAGGTTTGAGAATTTATCTCTGGAGAGAACAATCCTATGGTCCTAGACAAAATATGAGAGCTCACAGGATATTTCAGATTCCCCAATTCAAAGTCAGAGATTGTGCTCTGATCTCACAGCTGAGAATCAGTGCTCCAACTTCCCTCCCTATTGCAGCCAATATGAAAAGACATTACTGGCTGCTCTGTAATGTCAACAGTCAGGACAGTGACCTGGAGAGTAGTAAAAGTGGATGAGGAATGGAAGCGACTGGAGTGGATCGAATACAAGCTGTTCTGAAGCCTCTTCAGTCTTCTTTTCTCCCCCTCCAAAATGCTCCAGTTAGAATGGCAAAAAGCCTGCCAAATATGCAGGACAGGAAGACAGGAAACAAAGATAATTCTCAGTTTGGATAATTCTCGTCCCTTTTGCATAGGATGACCATAAGTCTCCAACTTTAGGAACTTACAGGCATAACATTAAGACTGCATCTTAATGGCTAGTGAACATAGTTTGTGTGAATGCCTTAACTTTCATAATGCTGCCTTTTCTTTAAATACTTTATTTTGTACATGAATTGGAGTGGAGATTAGGGCAGAAAGGCTAGTATGCTTAGGAAAAAATATGAGACTGATATCCGAATCAATTGCACCAAGCTGAAGTATAATTCACTTAAGAAATGTTGGATTTGTGAACAGATCACTAGCACCATATTTATGCAGATCTCTTTTAATGTTTCTTTGCTTCCTTAATTGGCTAGACATCAGCAGTTGGAAAATGTAATCAAACCGTATCTGAACCTTGATGAATAAGTTGTCTTGTCTTACATTTGCATCATTTGTAATTCATTTTTTTCTTTTCCCATAATATTTGCTCCCCCCTTTCCCCAAAAATGTTCACAGTTGGAGTGAAACCTTTTAAAATTTGGTATATGTGTTTACCTAAGTAATTGTTAATTGTTAAACCTATGAAGATAGTCCTGGTAGGCTGATATAGCTCAAATTCTGGAACAGGAGTGGGCAATACTAGTTGTAATACTAATACTAGGTCTTTCATTGAACTCAGTAGTAAAACTTGATGTAGAGATTTTCAAAACAGCACCTGTATTTTGGTTATAGATGGAGGAGGAAAGTAATATTTTCAAGCAGTGATGTTAGTTCCTGCATGAAGCTCAGTAGCTTTGTTCTCCACAGTTTGGCAGATGGTTAAGTCTCTGAGGTGATAGCCTGAACATTAAATGTGCTGCAGATTTTTAACAAGAGGAAGCATTTAAACTCTTAGGTGTTGTTCTTTGGCTAATTGTTACTGTTCTTCTGGCATGTTGTCTTAAATAGTTTTATGCTTAGCACCAGATAAACTATCAGGTTGACATTGACAGAGGGATTTATCACAGAAATTCTTTAACGCTATTTATTGGAACTCTGGGATATAGTCATGAATTTTTTGTTCTTTAAACTGATTTACATACTGGTGAATGCATCAGTTGCTCACATGGGTCTGGTAATCTGCATCATGAATGTCCATGCTGTGCCATGGGCCCTTGCCCATTGTCTGTAAATATTTGCTGCATTCACTGTATGAGCCACTCCAGAACTCAGAAGTGAACTGGGAGTGTGCATGTGATATTCCAGGGGTGACCAAGCCAAGGCTTGGGAGCCAGATGCGACTCTTTGAGTTTATTTTGTGACTTGCTGCCCATGGGCACCTGCTTGCAGCTCTCAAATATCTGACATTTACCAAACATGGCTCTTCCACTGAGCAAGTCTGGCTACTCCATGATATATTGTAGAAAGAATGTCAGGTGGAAGTGCATTTGACTGTTGCAAGACTCAAAAAGTAAGTTAGCTTTCAGTGTATGCCTGAAGAGTATCATTCCTGGTAATAGTGATTAACTTTTTATTTTAAATGGAGGGCTGCATTCTCATGTGTAGTGTGTCTCTGGTCATCTATTGACAGAGTGTGACAATGATATCAGCAGTGGGAATGGCCAGAAACAAAAGGCTGCCCCTTTCCAATCTCTTTTTCCCATCGCCCTTTCTCTCTTTCCAGGCTAGTAAGAAAAGGACAGATTGCTTTTGCCACAGCTTGATTTGATCACAGGCAGACCACTTTTGAAATGAGGCAGAGGGCCCACATATGACCCTAGAACCACAGCTTGCTCACCCCTGATTTATGGGGTTAAAAAAATATTGTGCACTTGTTGAGGTCTACTGAAACATATGCCTGTTTATTTTTAGGTATGGAATATTAAACAGATGATTAAATTGACACAAGAACACATAGAGGCTCTGCTGGACAAGTTTGGAGGAGAGCACAATCCACCATCTATATACTTGGAGGTAAGGAATTGGAGATGTTTAATACCTTCCATGTCTTGCATGAGTATAAAGTAATGTGTCCATTGCTTAAGAGACTACAAAATGCATCTAGTTAAGTTTAAATGTTTCCTCATGTCCTTGAGCTGAAAATGTATGCTGCTGTGTTAAAAGTCAGAGAATCATTTTTAAATATAGACAAGACTAGTATTAAAATGCACTATAGCAAATAGCCAAACATCGCTGTAAGAACATTGTGGGTGGTATAGGTATCAAAATTAAACCCATTGTTACATTTAACTTTCTGGATTTAATCTGAAGAATACTATTGTACAGGTACTGTTTGGTGAAAAGTAGTTATCCTGGCTTGTAAAGGAGAGGTCATGCTTAACAAATCTGATTATCTCCTTTAAGCAAATTACAATGAAAGCTGACAAGGGTGAAGGAGTACACATAATCTGTTTAAATGTCCAAAAGGCTGTTCTGTATTTTATGTAGCCAGCTTTAGTTGCCATGTTGATGGAAAAGAGTTCTCAATTAGATAAGAACTGAGTTACGTACTTGTAGCAATAGGCCAGGCTGCAACAGATTAGGAATGATGAAAGCATTTCAGTAGTGTTAAGTTTAATGTTCTTACTCTTCAAACTTGATAGGGAAAAAAACAGCTGGATCATGTTTCCATAAGGGAAGAAGTTGAGGAGGCTAATAGTAAAGGTGCTTCATCAGTCAGTTCACCAGATTGTAGTTTGGAGGATTGGAAATAAATTGCATATTCTCTGCTCCCCTGTCACATGTGGTTTCACTCTTCTGAGACTTCTGTTTAGTGCTAGTCATAGTTTTCCCTGACTTTTGAATCAGCAAATTATGCTGTTTGAACTTGCTGTTCAAATCACGGCTTCTGGTTTTGAGGACAAATTTGCTGATATAGAAAATAGCACGAACTATGGCTAGTACTGAACAGCTGAAGAGAAGAAATATTATATGAGAAAGGGAGCATGCAAGTCAGCGACTTACCCACGGTCATTCAAAGCACAGCTTAGAATAAATTCTTACTTGAGCCACTGTAATGTCAGGCTCAATTTTTAAATTCTTTTAAAAGTAGCACTTCAAATATATTTGTCTTTTCATCTGTTAGAAAAATAGAAGGAAAACCTCTGCAATTTAGCACTTTCATTACATGAAAATTTTCCACATTTTCCTTTGATATGTTGCTTTTGTGTTTTCATGTTTTCTGTTGTTATGCTCCCATGAAAGCTAGATTATTTTCTTCTCTAATTAAATCAGAAGATTACAAATCCTTATACCTGTCACATATGTATTCTGCATAAGCCATTGAGTTTGCAGTAATGAACTACTAGAGAATAGAAACAACTGTCATAAATAGCTTCTCATATTCCTTTTATTAATGGTAGTCTCTTCTGGCTTTTGGACAGTTGGTGAAATAGTCAAGGTGCCAGGCTCAATGGGAAGGAATGAAAGGAACTGCATAGGAGGTCAGGGTAGCTGATAATAAATGTGCCAGCCCACAGAAATGTCCCCTCTGATTTTTAGATTCTTGTTGTAGAAATCTTGGAACTTAAGTTAGACTTAGGTAGACTTTGACATAAATCTTGCAAAAATAAATATTGTGCTAAATTTCAGGAAAGGAAGAATGCAAAAAGGAAATATTGATATATGAGCTTTCCACGCTAATTCCAGTGTAGTTTTTTGTTATTTCCTCAGTTCTGTACTTGTTTATAGATTCTTAGGGCCTATTTATTCCAGAAACGCAAAGAGGCATTCCTAGGTTTAAGAGGACAGCCAGCATTTTCATAAAAGAAGGATGGGATAAAGATCATCACACAGGGGAATTAAAATAGTGTATTTAAAATGTATGTGCAAAGTCAAATTCTGCCTTGGGCTGATTTGAATGAAAACAATTATCTTAGATTTCTACATTCTAACCTTTATTTTATTTTATTATTTTATTTTATTTTATTTTATTTTATTTTATTTTATTTTTTGAAGTTACCTCCCTAATTTATTATAACTTTCAACAAAAGAAAACTGAAAGAAAGGGATATATTTCTGCATAGACTGATTATAACAGTTATACATGTTTCAGCAAAATCAGACCAAAAATCCATGTATGCATCCATTTGAGAGTACCTTTTATTCTTCCAGTAGTATAATATTACTATTTTAGCTGTCAAAACAGCCTGGAGAATTCATTTACATTGACTATAGTTTAACTTCCAGGAAGCAGTTAGATAATTTAAAAGAAGGTATGCATCAGTAAATATTAAAGAGTGTTCCAGAACTAAGTTTATCTGTATCATAACCTCCTCCCTGACAGAAGCAAATACTATAAATTAAAAGAAGCATTAGCAGTGTTACACTTTCAGCAGTTAGTCAACTTTGACAAAACATTATTAAGGAGACATAGTGCATTCCAATAAACACAGAAAGTATTTTTGTTGAATAAGATCTATCCTTAGGTCCACTGAAACTTCAAATACAGACTCTAAAGCAATACGCTCTTGATTAGACTGAATAGGGCAATACAATTTCTTATTCCAATCCTTCTCCAGACTGTGTATCATATTTATTCAGCAACGATAATGTTTGTAAACATGGATTGGGGTTCAAAGAACTGATAAGCCTCAATAAGTATGGAGGAGGAGATTCTGAAGCTGTACAAGCTGCAGGGCTAAATCTGGATTCTAATGAACATTGCAATTACCAGGATTGCCATTGAACCATGGCAGACAAGTCATACTTGACATGCAAATCTGAAAATGTCAGAAATGTATCATCAACCCCAATGACTGATCCAAAGTAGAAAACAAAATTGAAAGGAATTGTCCAGATCTTTGCTAAAATCGTTTTCTTAACAGTTATTAAATATAGAGTATACCATAATTAATTTAGCATGCAAAAACTGAAATTGAGCAGAGCGTACAGGTTGTAAGGAAGAATTGACAGATGGGAAGGGATTAAGTAGTTCCCATGTTCAATTCTCCCTTGCAAATCTTCCTCCATCCCTGAAATTAACATTATGATATCATGTATTGGGTAGCTATGGCTCAAGGGAGAACAGTCCACTTGGTTCCTTTGTTGAAATTCTCATGAAGATGCTGTTGTGGCATGTGAGTAAACTGTTTAAGGGTATGGGTTTAAAACTAGAATGGCTAAGAGGGGCATTGAATTATTTATTTTGACTCCATCATTTCCTACTTTATCATAAGTCATCCCTGAATGCCTTCCATTGCAGGGTTGGATCAGGGACTGTTCCAGTACTTGCAGCACAGCGTGCATAGGAGGCTATACATTTATCAGAAGTAACTCTTTTAATGACCTTTTTCTTCTTACAGGCCTATGAGGAATACACCAGCAAGTTAGATGCATTACAACAGAGGGAGCAGCAGCTATTGGAATCCATGGGCAATGGAACTGATTTCTCTGTTTCCAGTTCTGCTTCAACTGACACTGTTACATCATCTTCATCCTCTAGTCTTTCTGTTGCACCTTCATCCCTCTCAGTTTATCAGAACCCTGCAGATTTATCACGGAACAACCCTAAATCTCCACAGAAACCTACTGTTAGAGTCTTCCTACCCAACAAACAGCGGACAGTGGTAAGGCCTGTACAAAGACATAGGTTGACTGTTAAAACAGTGCAAAGTCAGGTATAGTGTAATTCTTTTATGTTGTCACTGCCTTATACATGGAATAGTGGAGCAAGCAAAGTGATGTCTTTGAGGAGTCTAAAATCCTCTGCTGAGCTAGAAATGTGATGAAAGGAGTGTGACATGATTTTTTGCAAAACGTTACCTTTCTATGAAAGGAGAAATTAAGTTACTCCTATGCAAGTATTTTTTAATTCTGGGAGTTGCAATCCAGTGCCTCTGAAGACCACCAGGTTGGGGAAGGCTGGTCTAGGTCATTAGCCCTTGGCCTTGTTGAGTGTATCACAACCTGAGGCTGTTTGCTGGACATATTACTGAAGGACTGGGGAAGCCTTTTTAATCCCTAAACTATTTTGGAGAATCTCTTGGAAGCTGTGTTCCAGTGACGGGTGGGGATGACCTATCCCTCCATTCCATTTTTACCAGTTTATAGTAGGAAACACGTCTACTCAGGACAAGCCTCTGCATGTGTACTCAGAAAAAAATAGATGAGAGAAGCACTCTGCAGCACTAAAATAACATTCCCAACAGTCCTCTGCATGTCTACTCAGAAGTATACAAGATAAACCTCTACAGAGTAAGGCCCAGAATTAAGCAGGATTGAATCACTTTGTGACTCCTGTGGCCTCAATCTCTCTGCCACAAAGGAAAAAGTTCTTATCTCTGATTGTAACCGGCTCTGTTGCAAAGGGGCCTAGGCCAGGAGAGGAAGCTGTCATACTAGATAAGAACCCTTTGCAGGCCTTATCAGGCTTGTAGGCTAGAGGTTCTCCATCTCTGCAGAGAAACATGAAGTGTTTCAGCTCACATGTGCTGCACCTGCCAGGAGCAGAAATAAGGCATCGCTGAATGAAAAGCAGGCAGAGAAGGGTGACAAGAATCCAAGCCCAGCAACTCGCTGCCTTGCCAGCACATGGGGCTTGTGCTTTGCAAACAGAGAACAACTGAATACTTTCTGCTTCTGAGTAAGGTGGAACAGGAGAGAGGGGGTGTCGAAAGCATCTTGATAAAGAGTGGTAAGAAGTGGATGAGAAAGGGCTGACTGGCATCAAAGATTTTGAGGAAAGAATTTTTGAAAGGAATGTCTTGATACATAGAGTGGATGGGGATGGTCTGTTTTAGTCATCGAGGACAGGACAGTATGGGGTGTAAGTGGAAAAAAGAGAGAGCCCAGGTAGCAGGTGGATGAACTTGAGCAGGGTGAGAAGGATATAGTATAGTGATTCTTGCAGAGTAATATCTTTTGATTGGAGAAGGGGGTCAGAAGCAATCAAAATCTGATTTATATTTTTAAAAACCTCCTAGATTATGAACTGGGATCTGCTTTGGTACACAGAACGTGCATTGGTAATCCATTCCCCTTTTGAGCAATTTCCAGCATACATTTAAGACTTATTGTTGCCAAGGAGACCATGAAGGCTAGGAACATGGGAGAAGAGTGAAAGTGTGTGTTTTCTTTGGGGGTGGGGGGGTAGGGTTAGGCTGCATAAAATATAAGAGATGACAGAAACAGAAACTGGAATTTCCAGTTGCAGACAGATAAAGAGGAAAACAGTGCCATTTTAGGGAGGTGACAGTTTAAGTATGAGAGAACTATTTAGAAGGGAGATGGTCTGGAGACTGGGTAAAAGTGATGCGTGCAAAGTGTTCCCCTTACTTCACTTGCCTGGCACTATGTATATAAAATCCCTTCCTAGAGCTTGGTCTCTGAAACTTTTCAAACCGTGAAGAAATATCTTTTACATTGGACCCTTGTAATTAAAGGTGAGAACCCTAATTCTGCAGCTCAGGAACCAGTTGGTCTACCAAAATAGCACCACCCTCTTTGTGCTAAGTGTGCAAGGTTGAATAGAAAAACTTTATTTAGTGCTTTACTATTCCACCCTATGGCCCACAGGGCTCTCGGGTGATGTACTATTTAAAACATACATAACCATAAAACTCTAAGAATAAAACAGAACAATAAAACCACTAGAAACACTAAAAAACCAAAAATAAATAACTATAGCAGTCCATGAATTAATCCCAAGCAACAGCAATAATAAAACAAGTCTAAAATTATTCATGATAAAATATTAATTTTAATATTTTATATCCCTGTTTTGGAATTAAAGGCTACTTTTCCTTCACATCTGTGAGTAAAACATATTTTAGTCATTTGAGAATTTCCAGATGTATAGGCAATATTGAAAAAATTTGTATCTTAACCCTACAAGTCCTTCCTATATTTCAAAGAAAGTTCTACTGATTTCAGTGGGACTTGCTCCCCTGTAAATACCAAAAGGATTGTTGCCTTACTTAGGAATTCTGCTCTGACAACTGAATTTGCAACCCAGGAACTTCTTTCCATGGGCTTGGTAGTTTGCCCATGCTAGATAGTTAGTGCTGCAGAGACTGAAGACTGCTTTTGGTCATTGGTAAGAAGACTGGGAAAAGAAGTAGACTCGCCCATGGATTTTTATCCTGCATTTGCTTCTGTAGGAAAAAGAAAAAGTTATATCAAAAGTTGAGTCAAAGTCAGATGCTACTATTCTGAATTATTCTTTACATATGAATGACATGATGAAGTTAAGTCACTTTGCAGATAAGATTGCAGGTTTCTATCCTGCCATATTTAAATTCTTTCTGGTGAGTGGGGAGACTAGCACAGACATTAGGAAACATATTTCTGTGCCTTATATATTTTAACAGAACTGTTCTTGGATTGTAAGATATTCAGAAAAAACATAAATGAGAAAGAAAATGTTTGACAATTAGAAAAAGAAACCATGTAACCTGTAATATAACATGTAGAACTGGTTTACATAATCACCATGACTTAATAAGCCCTGATTGGTCCAAGGTAATTTTTGAATATTCAAGCAGGAGTCACACCATGTTGTATCATACAAATTGGCCAGGATGAATTTTGTGAGGGTTAAACAGGATAGGGGGTTTACAGGCCTGTAAAAGAAAGGGTTGTTTAACCTTCACACAACACCTGCTGGGTGCATCTGACATGATAAAGCATGGTTGTGAGTTGAACATTGTAAAGGACCACCAAGGTGTGCCACAGCCCACTGTGGGCTGTTAAATTGTGCAAACTGGCCCACAGAAAAAAGCATTTCCACCATTGCATAGGAGTTCTTTGCTAGCATCCCATTCACAGGATCTAATTGACCAGATAATACATGTTCTTTTTGTCTAAATTGACAGAAACCTCCGTATAACAAACTGTGGAGAAACTTGCAAGTGAACATAACTCCTATCTCCTTTAGTTTTAGCCAGGGTTTTCTAGAACCTGAGCCAAAAGCCTAAGAATGTGCAGAGTAATAATCTCTGAGGATCAGTAGAGTTCCTCTCATGGACTAACTACAAGCAAGCTTGCACAGTACTCAGACTCCATCCAGAGGCAGTTTCCAGGCTTGTATTTTCTTAACAAGGTAACTTCAGACTTAGGCTCCATCTTCAGCAAAGGCAGCTAAGCATTTAGAATTCACACAGTTTCAGGAATAGGAAAATATAAACAGAGATAAGAGCCCTTTCCTGAGAGGCATATGCAAGCACAAACCACAACTGCTGGTTGTCTCCTTAATGTATTGCATCTTTCTTAGGCATGAAAAGGGTACAGTGCTCTTTTGCTAAAGGCATGAGCTTTTGAGGCAGGGGGCAACTGAAGAGTGTTCAGTCATTCAGTGAGTGTAAAATTGACTGTATTTAACTTTTTTTTTTAAAGCTGCACTTCAGTTTTTGATTAATCTGGTACAAATCTGACATTTGGTTACCTTGAGACAGTTTCTAGTTGCCCATGATGGCTAGGCACTCTCAGCAACAAACCACAGTCGATGCTAGCGTTCCATTATAAGTGTTTTGCTGCCTCCCTCTCCTATGACATAAGGAAAAAGAAGGTGAAGGGGGAGAAGTTGCTCATGTATCTGTAAAAATGCAGACACTTAAGGATTTGAATATGCCTTCATATTGTACGTTAGTCATATGACTTGTATGTTTGGCAAGAAGATACACAGAACTTTGGAAAACTTGCATTTACAACCAATTCATTTAATTGGCATTTTATTAATCCATTTAGGATACTTTATAGCCTGCTTTACAAAGGGGTTTCAGAATCTGTCTGTCTATCTAGTACAGGAAGAGAAATCATGCATTTGGAGTCAGGATTACTTAGGTAGTGTTGCCTGTCACCATCTTCTAGTCTTCCTTGTTGTCCCTGAGACCAGCTCAACCAGTATCCTCTGGGTTATGCGCAGTTAGAACTTGCTTCTTCTGTAATGAAAGGCATTCTCCTTTTAGCAGTTTGCAAGCAACAGATTTAGGGCACACACCCCACACCACATTACTTCACAAATTATATAATCAGCACATGGAATGCACTCCTATAGACCATGATGATGGCTAATGCCTTAAATGACTCTGAAAGGACTTTCTCTAATTTAGTGCTGTCCAGATGTTTTGGCCTCTAGCTGGGAGTTATATTCTGAAACATCTAGGGGGTGTCAGGGAAGTCTGGTTTAAATGAATTCATGGAGATTCCTAGCCATGGTAGCTTGATGGAACCTCCTGAATCAGAGCCATGATGGTCTGATTCAGTCAAGCTCTTAAGTTCTGTGAAGACTCAACTGCATCAGATTTAAGATAGACTGCTTTTAAAGGGTTTAAAAGCATCAGGCTTAGGAAGGCAAAACCGGCTTCTGGGGGTCCCAGTCCTACATTCCAGGCTTCCCTAGAAGGCCATGTCACTTTCTCTTGTAATCATGTGCTTTCTTCCAGCCAATGATTTTAAGGCAGTTTCCTGGGTTTTATGCAGTTTCTTCCACACTCTAGAAGGCTGAAATGCTTAGGTTTGGTTGCTGGTACTATGAGCTTTAAGTGAAATTGTGCTGGTATTTTTGGCCCTACTCCTTTCGCCTTTGCTGTTCCTACCATGGGAAATGGCCCTGGAAATATTCTTCAAAATGGAATTTGTCTCTTGGGCTGAAAGAGACTCTGAACACTGAATTAGAAATACCAACCATAAAATTATGCTGACATTTAAGCATTTTGTTTTGTTTTTGCAGGTTCCAGCAAGATGTGGGGTAACAGTCCGGGAGAGTTTAAAGAAAGCTTTGATGATGCGAGGTCTTATCCCAGAATGCTGTGCTGTTTACCGAATACAGGATGGGTATGGTTTGCATGCCATATTGTGGGAGGAGATTGGGAAGAACAGAGTGCAAAGTGATCCCTGATGTACTGTATACTGTGCAATAGAAGCTTCCAGACTGTTCTAATCTTTCAGTGAATACTGCTCTACACTAAACTATTTAGCTTTTAATTTTAGAGGCAAAGTGTTGAGAAATAGTCTTTTTTCTTTCAGTTGAATGAAGCTTTCTGTGATTTTTGGGTCCCAAGGGTCATATCTCTTTGCTGCTATAGATGTTTGTCGCAGCTGAATTTCACAAAATCTTGCCCTTTTAAGCTCATTAAGGAAACATTCTGTGCATTTTTAGACTGGACAGGGACCTACAAATCCTAGTATTCCCCTGCTGGCTCGGGAATGCTGGGAGTCGTAAGAATTGGTATTCATTTAAACATACATAGGATTGGGCCCACAAAGTGCTAGAGAAGGAAGCCAGTGTCCTCCAGTAGTAGCTTCTTTAGCGGTTCCCTGTTAAGAATATGTCAGGGTGATTTTTTTTTTTTTTGCCGAAATGTTTGGCAATTGCATGTCACCACCAAGAGTTTATTTGCTGTGTAGGGAGAAGAAGCCAATTGGTTGGGACACTGACATTTCCTGGCTGACGGGAGAAGAACTGCATGTGGAAGTTTTGGAGAATGTGCCTCTTACAACACACAATTTTGTAAGTATTTTCATATAATGCCTTGTGGTGTTCTATTAGCCCTTGTAGCTTTGAAAACTTTTTCATTGAGCAAATGGACACCTGTATCTTAAATGCAGCCAGTTATAGGCTTTGGAGCATAGTGACTATTTTCTGAATGGCACCTTTCTCCACAGCAGCAGTAGTTCTGTTGTCTGTTATTCTGTGAGTCTCAAGTATGCTTTAAGCACACACAAATCAATAAATCTACCTGGTTACACTTGCATTTATTCCTACACTCATGTGGGTGTGCATGGATTCATACAATAGTCACATGTTGCATAGCAATAGGCGAAATAAAAATAAGACTTTTCACATGTGTTTATTTTCCTGTCCACCTGCAGCAATTCATTGTAAGCAAGCAAGTGGATGCTTGCATTCATCTTAAACCATATTGTGAGATGCGACCACCATGTCTGACAGTATTGTACTTAATGTTGAATGGAGGTTGAACCTATAGATGAATAACAATTGCAGTTATTAACATAATTGGTTCCTTTAGGGCCTAGGGATTATCAGAAGGTCAGATGTGTTTCAAATCCTGTTTTAAGAAGCTGGACTAGAGGAACTTCAGTTCCTTTTGTGTGCTTGTTGTGATCTATAATCTGCTTCCACATCATTGTAATCTCAAGGCTGAAGCCATAATTGCAGAAAGAATTATGTAAATTGTCTGTGATTGAGGGCAATTTACTTGTCATTAAAGTGTACTTCTTTAGAAATAGCAACATTCTCATGGGGAATTTAATAAAATGCTTATGTGTATGATATTGTTAAATATACCAGTGCATAACAAAGGAAGGATAATTTGCTAGTTATATGTTGCTGTAATATGGAAGAATGCAATGATGATGTCCTGGTGGCTGTGCAGTGGTTTGTACCTAATAAGCTCTTTGTCCAGAGTTGTTCTGGTGACATCACCAGTCATGGTTCTCCAATAGAATCTGACCCAAAAAAGCACAGTGTAAGTGGAACTGTTAGAGATAAATCATCTGGACGGCTTTTGCCCTGCATGCTGTGGCTCAGACTTCCCGTGCAGAGAAGACTTATAAAATAAAACCTTTATGTTCAACTTTGCTTCTTAACACATGTAATATTTACATGGATTTCTACAGGAATTGTCTCATAAAACTAAACCATTCATCTCCAAATAGTAACTTTTGACTGTTGGTTTTAGGGGCCCCTACCTAGATAATGTCTAGCCTCCTAGCTTGGAACTGTGTTTTAGATATGAGACAGAATACTCTGTGTGATATTTTCTTTCTTTGCCTCTATCTTTCTTTCCCTCCTTCCCTATTTTCTTTCTTTCCCTCAAACCAAAATGAAAGGAATTTTGCTTTCACATTCTACAAATTTTAAATCTTGGGTTATGCTAAATAACCTTGAAGATTTTTCAGCCTTTAGTGTAGCTCTTCTAATTTAATTTACTTAGACATATCTTGAAAGATGTGCTGAATTACTGTTTGAGTTCTTCAACTGTACTTATTAATAAAAGACACACCTTATTAAGTGAACCGTTTGTTTAAAAAAAATAAAAAGAATAGACCAGGCTTCTGAGATTAGGCAGAAACTGGTGACTGCTCCAGAGTTCATCTGTCCAAGGTCTTAATCCATAGTTATCCCTGGCAGGTAGAGCTCTGCAAGACCATGGAGCTTCTTTTTTGCCTTATGTAGTCAGGAATGAGGAAACTCTGCTTCTGTGTGTGCACTGAGGGTGATGGTATGCCTTGCTTCATCTCAAACTGTTCAAATGTATTTGGAGAGTTCAGTTTCTGACAACCCCATTCTAGCCATGCTAGCTCCAGTGTAAGTCCTGCAGACTTCAGGGTTGCAGCCTGAATCTCTTTGATCTTTCTGTCTTAAAGACTTTGATCTTTATAAACTTCAGGCATTAAAGCCCTTAGACTACTAGGATTGCATGAGGGGAGTGCAGGGTTCTTAATAATGTGAGGGCTCCTGTATGCATCAGGCAGGTTCCTTCACTATAGGCATCTACCCTCCAACATGGAGGATGGCAAGGCCAAGGAGTAGGGTCACATGTTTGCACTCTGCCTTTCCTATGAGTGTTTCAACAGCAGTAAAGGGCTTAGCTCTTTTAATCTTTTTCTAACTGGGCTACCTTTTCTGTCTAGTCATTGATTATTTCTGATGCCATTTTCATTATTTATTTATTTAGTTATTTACTTATGTATTAGATATATTCCACCTTTTTTCTTACAAATAACTCAAGGCAGTTTACATAATACTTCTCTTCCTACTGTCACTCTTTTCCCCACAACAAGAACCCTGTGAGGTAGGTTGGGCTGAGACTGGCCCAAAGTCACTCAGTTGGCTGCATGGCTGAGCAGGGACTAGAACGCAGATCGCCTGCATCCCAGTTCCATGCTCTTAACTATTGCATCACACTGGCATTATGTGCCTCTTTGATAAATGGCAATTGAAACTTGAGACATGAAGTTGTCAGTCTAAATGCCTGAAGGCAGGTGCCAAACTAGAAGACAGAGACGTCTTAATTGAGTTATGAATTGGATTGATGTTTTATAAATACAATCATGTATTTAGGCACTCGTACTAAATTCTTACTGTTCACAATAGCACACTTATGTAACTCTAAATGTTTGAAGGAAAGTTGTAATCTTGACAATCACATTGTTGTTAGAGTAATATTTTCTGTTCAACTCTAGCTAGAAAAAGCTTTAAGCGTGAGGTGGCATTAATGAGCGTAAGAGGCCTTGGTTTTTCATGACTTATTTTTTGATGGCTTAGGTACGGAAAACATTCTTCACTTTAGCATTCTGTGACTTCTGCCGAAAGCTGCTTTTCCAGGGTTTCCGTTGTCAGACTTGTGGATACAAATTTCACCAGCGTTGTAGTACAGAGGTGCCACTGATGTGTGTGAATTATGATCAACTTGAGTAAGTAATCAAAACTCATACTTTGACAGTAAAGCTACAGATATTGCCCTGTAGTACAAATGGAGAAGTCAGTCCTCCTATCCTCCTATGCTGCCTCTTCCTGTGATGACATATCAAGTCATATCAAGTGCATAACATGCCCAAAGTAACTGGTGTGCACTGGCAATCAAGAAGGCTTCTTTCAGCCTCTTGGTACCATAGGAAAGTTTTATGCATGACCCCCTTCCCAATCCAATCACAGTAATTGTCACTAAACTGTGTTGCACTTAGTACCTATGCTTCATGTGCAACACCACCAGTTAAGTAGTAGTACAAGAAGACCATGTATCCTTGCCAACTGTCTAATGCATTTGTTTGTTCACACAATACAATTGGTCCCCTCAGTTAACTTTTGAGGCTCTGTGTGACCTAGGATTGTATTGATAATAATAGTTCTAAAGTGTAGGAAAAGACTGTAAGTAAAAATAGTTAAGTTGTTGGGTGATGCACTACTTTTTGAAAAGCATTATAATTTCAACACAGAAAACCAGCTGAACTGGCACACTTTGGTCTCAAGGATTCCAATATTACAGGAAGGATAAATGTCTTAGGTTTCTGTGTATCTGTCTCATGGTTGAGAATGGAAAACTAAACCAAATTAACTTCATAATCAAGGAGACGTTTCATCAAGTAGCTGTTTTTAGCTGAAAGCTGTAGTGATCTCACTGATAGTCTTTCTGTGCCTTTTATGGCAGAATATCTCAGTGGGTGAGTTCTTATCTTCATTCATGTAGCTCCATGGTTATTCTTATGCATGGTTATTCCTGTGTATTCAAGCCTATGCTGGTTTAGCTGCCACCATTTTAAAGATTTGCTTGTGTAGCAGAAGAGAGCTTTCAAAATGTGCCACTTCCAAATAGATTTAGTTTTTCTCTGTTATTTTTTGAATGGCTTCCAACTTGCTTGTCTTCATTAAGAAACTGCTTTCTGAAAACATTCACTTTCCTTTCAGATAGTTGACAGTATTTAAGTGTAGAACATCCATGTTACTCTTAATATGAAACTTGTGCCAGAAATTGCTGCCCTGTGTTGGGGAGATGGGGTGGGAGAAAACGCAGCATCGTAACCCGGGTAATAGTGCCTAATACCTTGTTCTTCAAATGTGTTGGACTAAAATTCTCAGCATCCCCCAACCAACCATGCTGGCCTAAATGGTAAGGGGGAAGCATGACCGACTGCTTTTTTGGCAGTAGCTTCACTGCAGCTGTCATGAATTAGTTTCACACCAAGTGCATAGAAAAGCAGGACTCCACTTAGCCCCAGCAGAAACCAGGTCTGTTTTGACCGCAGAAACCATTTTGACCACATCACAGAAAGCATTTATCTGAATAACTGATCCAAGTCACTGGCATTTTAATTTTCCTAGCTAACCGTGACCAAAACTGCAGTGTCGTCTTCCAGTGCTTTTTGTTTTGGAGACAATACTCTGTGACGCAGGATATTTTCTTATGTGAAGTATTATGCCATGAAACATACGGATTTTGCCCAGGTTAGGTTTGTTTTTGTTCTTGTCTTACAGTTTGCTGTTTGTCTCCAAGTTTTTTGAACACCACCCAATACCACAGGAGGAGGCCTCCTTAGGAGAAACAACCACAGCATCTGGGTCATACCCTTCAGTGCCCCCCTCAGATTCACCTGGGTATGTTCTTTAAATACTGCTGCACTAATAACATTGTATGTTTAAGAATTAGAGAGCACAATAATGCTTTACCAAGTAAAATGTGCTTAAAGTTATCAAACAAAAGTGCTAAAGAGTTTGAATATTCCCAGAACCGGAGCATAGATTAGTTTGCAGAAGCAGGGGAGGTTTGGGTGCATCCGTCCCTTAATGGAGATTGATTTTCCAAAAACTGGTTTTGTTTTGTTTTATGGTATTCTGTACTTGGCTCAATATGACACTTACATGCTTTTGTTTCTTAAGTCTTACTGCTGGGTTGGTTGCCTCCTTGACACAATGATTGGTTTTTGAAAGGAAATTATTTCTAAGAATTCCATTATTGTAAGCCGTCTTGGGACATTTTTTCATGTAGGATGGGGTAGAAATATTTTAAATAAATAAATAAAATCTGTGATACAGAATAGACACACCTGTGCTAATAAGCAGTACAAAGCGTTAACTTGCTTCCTTCTCATTAAGGCTGTGCCAGGTTCTCCCTGCTCCTGTTTTCACACATCAGCAGTTTGTTGTTGGGTGTGGATTCAAATACAACCCATTTTTTCTTGCTGTGGGAAACTCTTTGAAACTCTTTGAAATTGCATAGCTAGGTCTAGTACAGCACACATTGGATACTGGATCACTCTGGCTTCCAGAAAGCTGGGATAATAGTCATTCAAATTGTGACACCTTTTAGAAGTTTGTTTTTTCTAGTGTCTTCCAGTAAGCATTCCCCCAACAGTTGCAACAGTCACCACATAGCAGCACAGCTGGGCTATCTGATCTTACCCTTATCCCGGAAAACAGGGACACATTTTTTAACCCTTGAAGGAAAGATCCTGTACAAACAGGTGTGTTAATAACATCACAGGTGCCCGCCTTGGGCCAAAAAATGCACCTTGCATTAACAGAAGGCATGTGTATTTATCTAATGATAAAATAAGACATAATTGTACCTTTCCAGGCTTAAGAGCAAATGTTATATTTGGCAGCCAAACTAATATGTTCATGGCAACCTCTGAAACTAAATCAGAAATCCAGTATCTGCCACAGGGATCACAGATTGTATGTTTTTGAGGTTCAAGGATCAGATTCTGTATCATAGCTGTGAGCCTCCTTTGGATTGTACATCTTTGTCCTGTTCTCACTAGCTCTTCCCTTCTATTTTTAAGCTCTGGTCACATATATGTAATCGTTCCACACATCTTATTGATTTGACGGCTTTGAAAGCCTCCCATTTTGCAATTGCAAAGATTAGTCAGAAAAAAGTGGCTAATTTAATTTTTTTAGTGGTGCAAATGGGTTTTCTTTTTGAATAACTGTATTCAGTATGTGTGGTGGAGTTAGAGGTCAGATTAATCCTTGCCCAGCCATACAGGCATTCATCTTTGACATGTAGGGCTAAATCAGACCTAATGGGAACTTACTAAAGAGGTTGGTTGGCAGTCTACATCATGTTTTAGACAAAGAAAATGCTTGGTTTTACTGGACCTTTAGCAGTGGTTTAATGAGGACCGTCGTCTTCTGAAATGCCTAGCAAAGGTAGATTTGTGAGGAACCATTTTATGATGGTTTGGATGTGCTGCTGGACTCAGCTTTGTACCGGGATACTGGGGTGGTGGCTGTACCAAGGAGCACCTTTGCCCTGCTTAGTATCTACCAACTTGCACCCATTTTTGCTCATGTCAGTCATAATCACTGTGTTGCTTCCCTTAGTTATATCTACACTGGTCTGTTGCACTGTGCTCAATATGGAGCAACTTTTTGAAGTGTCTTCAGAAATACCAAGTGGTCCAGAATGCAGTACTGAAGACTTTATGAGGGGTTTGCTCATAAAATCTTATCACATCTGCCCTGCAACAGCAGCACTGGTTACCAGTCTGTTTCCTACAACATCTAATAGTATTGGTGAAGTCAAGAGTGGAAAAAACACCCTTTGGGAGTCCACCAGGGGTACCCAATCAAAAGAATATTTACAGTTTATTCAGACATACAGGAATTACATGCAGCATGTAGGCAGTTCCAAAAGGGACTACAAAGATGGTCTCCAGGAAGAGCTGGAACGTTACTGTCTGAAACACTGGAAAACCACTGCCACTCAGTGCAGATGGTACTGAGTTAAAAAAACCAGTGTTGCAACTCAGTGTAAGCCAGATTTCTTTGTTCCTCCAGGTTTGAGGAAAGTTCTGTTCACTGCCCACCATTTGGCAGGAGTTATGTGGCAGCAACACCTATGCCATCTTAGATTTCCTACTATGTTTTGGTGTCAGCTTACTGCAGGGATTATGGAGCAATTTCTAATGATAAGTGCCTTGTTGTCTTGCACAAGCAAAAACAGATGGGCCCAATCAGACACCAGCATCAGCACCCAGGGGTCTTTAACAGCTGCTTAAGGATGTTGTGGTCCACCTCCAGTCCTTAGAAGGTAGCAGGCTGCACAAAAAGTCTTCACTAGATGATATCATTTATCTGGTGGTGTTGTGTCTACTGTAGACTGACTAGAGTCTTATGCAGGTAGACTTAATCCCTTTTATACCTTGACTTTTTCAGCCCACCAACTCTCCCTAGTCCTTCTCCATCAAAATCCATTCCAATACCCCAGCCTTTCCGACCAGCAGACGAAGACCATCGGAATCAGTTTGGTCAACGAGATCGTTCCTCATCTGCCCCCAATGTGCACATTAATACAATAGAGCCTGTGAACATTGATGTAAGTTCCATTTCCAAGCTTTGACTTTATAACTGGAATATCAGCTGTTTTTTTTCCTGTACTGCTTAAGTTAGGTGTAATCAATGAATGGGTGATAGACACCATCCAGCCTGCACAACAGGAATGCACCTGGCTCTCCTGCTTTCCATTTTTTCAAAGATGAAAAACTTGGTGGGTGTGAGAGACTGGGGTTAGATGTATCCCTTCCGTGGGATAACCTAAAGATCCATGGATCCATTCTGTTGTTGACTCTGTTTGAAACTGTGACTTGAGACCATCTTGGAAACTATATAACCATTCTGAACTCTTTGGAAAAAGAAAAAGATGTTTGTTATATGGGCTAGATGCTGTTTGAGGGCCATGGATTATGAGTGGTCAAACTCAATATGTGCAGTGTTGAAATCAGTGAAATGCCATTCCTAGATACTACTTCCACAGTATCTACCAAAAGAGAATTAACTGATGTGTCTTTCTATTTGCCTAATAGTTCTGTATTAATCAGAAGCTTGCTACTTGTCCATTAATGGATGTTGATCCATTAGCTAACACCTTGCCTATTTAACACTGCTAATTGATTATCATTGTTTCCCCTTACTTCCAGCCAATAGTCTTCATTTTCCTTCTTTACAAGAATATTTTAAGAGTATCTGTTAAAGATGCACATGATCGTGTCATTTATTCTCCAGTGTGCTTTTTGACAATTAGTTTGCCAGAGCCAGTAAAGCTCAAGCAACCTTACTGAGTGCACATGGCATAGACAAGCAAGCGGCCATTTTCTGGGTTGATAGTAAAGTATGCTGAATCCATGCAGCTGCTGTCAGTATGCATTTCTAAGCTTAACAAAAGCATATCTGTGTTATATTCCCTATCCATATAGTGACAATCAATGTAAATAATGTATGAATAAGGTGCATACAGTTTTGTTTTTGGTTTGTAGGACTTGATTAGAGATCAAGGGTTGCGAGGAGAGGGAGGTAAGTGACTTTGTTCTCTTGCATATAGAATGCAATGCTTTGCCTCCTCCCCTTTATGCTACCTCCTTTTGCAAAATACAGACACAGAGAGAAATGTAAAAAGAGCAATGAAATTTAGCTGTGCTTGCTTGCCCAGGACATGTAACATTTGTCTGATAAAGGTTTCAGTGGTTCACATTTCATTGTGGGTGAAGGGGAGGGAAGAATAACATGCAAAGTGGTAGCCAGTGTTTTTTATAGGTAATTAAAGATATTTGGAGGTCAGCCCTTCAGTTTATTCTCCTGGACCTTCCTTTTGTCCTTCAAAAAAAGCCCAAACTTGTCATTTTGCTATTGTGGTTCACAACGAGAATCCCTTTCAGAGGCCTGTCAGCCAGCACAAGTTACTGTTTTTACACCATGGCAGTACCTTAAGAAAACCTCTCCAGTCTTCCTAAGCATGAGATATAGAGGCTTTTATGTGTTAATGCAAGAAAGAAATGGGTACTGCCATGCCAATTTTGAATGTTTGGCACATCCATAACTTTCCTTGCAGTTAACAGGATTAATTCTTGTTCAAATTGATAAATGAAAACATTTTGACCAGCTTGTAAAAGATGTTCCCCAATGAATAAAGCAGCAAAGTTTAAAAAACCTTACATTTTTGACATAAGAACTGAGAAAAATTGCAGGTGACATGTGCCATCTCAGAAATGCTTTGGATGCTGAACATTTATTTATTTATTTATTTATTTATTATTTTATTTAAAACATTTCTATGCTGCCCCCATCGCAACAAAGCCTCGGGGCGGCTCACAACAAAAACATACAAAATCATACAAAAATTATACACTAAAAATATTAAAACCTGGTGCATCGCGGCTTAAAATTTTTTTAAAATCCTACATAATATATAAGAGGAAAGACTCTTCTGTAAGCTGGTTCAAACTGTCAAACACAGACCACCATAATTTATTTAAGCCATGGTGGCTGCACTCTGAGCTGGTGCTTGCAGACAGAAATTTTGAATATTAAATGTCTGTCAGACTCACGCAGTGGGGGTTGCTTAAGGGCTAAAAAGCCTTCACATAATTCGGCAATAGACTGTAGTTTTTTTCAAGGATTGTTTAACCCCCAGACAACTCCCAGTGCTCAGGTTGGCATGACATGACAAGTTGTAAATGGGTATCGAATATTCTGATTCCATCTGGCACATGTGAACTGTATATGTGCTTTCTGAAATGCATGTGCACATCACCTTAAACTGAAGTTTGATTTTGTCTATAGAATGTATTGTTATTTTCATACCCAAGGTTTTGCAGCTATAATTGAGTAGCTAATTGGTTAATCAAATAAGATACCTTTAATCAGATGATAGTCATAATGTGTGATGTGCACATTATGTGATGTGCAAGATGCTCCCATGTGGTAAAAATATAAGGCAAATTATACCTGGGTCCAGCTCTTAGCAGAAAAAAGGCTTCAGTAGCAAAAGGAAGTACTGTATATATACACATTTTTTCCACTAAGAGGCATGCAAGCTTTTGGTGGATGCTGCTGTTCCTGCCGCCACACTCGCTCAGGGTAGAGCTCCAAATGCTCACTGACTGGCAGGCTTCATTAAAGCTTTGACTTGGCTCTTCATCATTTGAGCTTTGCCATGTAATGCAGGAAAGCATGTGTCCGTAATCACCTGGCCTTTTTTGCTTTCCATAGCTTTCTTTGTTTCGTTTTTCTTTTATAACCCATTGTAGCCTGTGGCTTGACTTCAGTATTTAAGAAAGACTTTGTTTCAGTCAGAAGTTTGCTTCCTCTCATCCCACTCGGTGGCATCTAACAAAGCTGGCTACTACTTTGCAAATTTGAGGTCAGAGGTGTGACCTAAAACCATGAACCCTGCCAATGAATACATTGCCCATTTTGACTATCGTGTATGTCCAGATAGCTGTGGCTTTTGAACAGTTTTGCCCATTCTGTCCAACATTTAAATGTTGTGTACTATTATGTCAAAAATTTTGGTCGATCAGCTCTCTGCTGGGCATCTGATAATATGTGGCAATTCCCAATCTAGTGGAAGTATGCTGTTTGTTTTCTTTTAAAGTGGAAACAAGGGATTCTCCCTTGCAAAGTCATAAACAATCTATGCCTAGGAGTCAAAGCACCTTAGTTATGTCCCATGACTTTCATTTCTTCTGTGTGTCTGTCTTCCTGTCTCTGCCTGCCCGTCTCTTTCTCTCTAACAGCCCCTATGAACCAGCTGATGCGCTGCCTTCGGAAATACCAATCCCGGACTCCCAGTCCCCTCCTCCATTCTGTCCCCAGTGAGATAGTGTTTGATTTTGAGCCTGGCCCAGTGTTCAGAGGTAGTTGGGCTCTTCTTTCTTGTTTTCACCCAAATCAAACTAAATAAAACCACAGATGCTGTTTGTGCCTCACCCTCACAGCGTGTGTATGTAAGTGTGTGAGTTTATCAAAACACTGTCTTACTACTTTTTTTTTTTGGCTTGGCCTGGCTGGAATGCTTTGAATGTGCTTTTTCACCCATTTTCACTCACCCTTATTAAATTCACAGATACTCTGTGTTGGGCATCTGACATAAGGCTATTAGAGCAATATGTTGTAGTGATGAAGTTTTCATGCTGCCTTAAAAAAAAAAGTTGCTTCTTGCAAGGGTCCTCACTTGCTGTCGAACCGAGGTTAGGACAAGTCCTGCATATACTTAAAATCTGTGCAGAACATTAGGTGTTCCAAGGGATTTCCCTTATTATGGCTGCCAACTGTTGCCAGGCCTGCTCCTGTACATGTAACAGCAGACTAATCTGCCAAAACAGCAGGTGAAACCTTTCCTGACTCGATATCCTGTTCCAGGTCCTGCAGATCAATCTGCTGTTAATCTCAAGAGTGAAGGTCACTACAAAAGTTCACAATACTACTCTGGATTCCTAGAGAACTGTTCTGTTGTGTATGATCTTAAGGCTTTGCAGGATTTAGAGGCAGTGCGATAATACTAATTTCCTTGACTGTCAGTTTTAACACAATGCTTGGGATAGATCTCCTTATTTAACACTGTTTTTTAGAACACTGTTGCAAGTACTAACAATTCTCACAATTTAATTACTTTTCTGGTCAATGATTTATCTCAATGATACTTTGGGGTTGTGACTAATCTAGATACTAATAGAATGTTTTAGTACACTACAGAAACCAACCGAAGATCAGTTTGTTCATTAAACATAAAAATTTCCATTTAGATTTATGGCTAGAAAATTTAAATTTCTAGGCAAAAAGAGATTATAATTTGGCACAAAACTGTACTTCCTTAGAGACATTTTTCCTCAACTAGATTGTGGCCTAGATATTGAACAGCATGTACAAAAATGGATAGCCTTATGAATTTAAAGGCTTCGATTTCGGGTGTTCCAAAGATTTTTATTCTTTAGCAAAGGCCAGCCCAACCCATTAATTATACAATTTCAAAAACAAAGTAACTTCAACTAAACCAGGATAAACATTCCTTAAATGTAGTTCTATGTTTTATGATAGGATGTGCAGCTTTGCAGAGCAAAAATATTAGGGTTTAGACTGTAATAGTGTACAAGATGTAACTTCTAATAAATTAGTAAGAGCTGTCCCTTCCAGTGCCATAGGCCTGCTATTGCTTTAGGATTAGCCTTGTGTTGATGGCCTGGTATAATCTTTTGAAATTTAGTGCATTATTTCCTCCTGAAAAAGCCAGGATTGTGCTTACCATCCTAAATATCACCTGGGTAATTTGGACTAGAGAAAGAAATGATTACAAGAGCAAAAGCTAATCCTTGTTAGACAAGTTTCACCTAGCTTATGTCAGTGACATCTTTCCAGTGTTATACATATTGATGTCTTTTTCACACAAAGCTTTTATTTGAAAGTTGGACATCCCAATAGTTGTACACTGAAAAAAGCTTGTTCTCAAAATTCTGGATAGGGAGAAGTCTCTCTAAAGCTCTGGAGGCTAGGAGGACAGTCTTTTATATGCAAAGCAGGAAAGGCAGTTGCATCATTGCAGAAATGAGGAGCTAAGTCAGAGCCAGGAAGGGGACATCTGTAAAGAACTTTAGGAGAAATGAAATTGTCCTGGCTAGTGTAAGAGACAGGACCCTCTCATTGATGCACCCAAGCTACAAAACTATCTAGCCTAGTCCCTTCAGGACAAGCTTTTAAGAAGACCTTGACAATTTATTTCTAAACTGCAGCCTTTCTTTAAAACTGTGAATGGCTTCTATAATTCCTAGCAGTACGCCTCTTAGTAACTTTCTGTGTTGCTTTGTGTAGGCTTGGCCCTAAACGTGACTTACTGGGTGAGTTTGCACGACACAGCAACCCACCCTGCAAACGAGATAAGAAGTATGGTTAGTTTATAGAACAGCCCAAAATGAATCTGACAGAAAGTTGGGTTCACCATGGGTTGTCCTGGTTGCTCCTTTCCCTTCAGTCCTCCACCCTGGTACCCCAGGGAATTGGCATATGAAGCCACCTTGTCTCCTCTTCATGCAGCATTTGCCACCCTTTTTCAGTCACCTGTGCAGATTTTTTCCCCACATCCACGACCTCTGCCAGTGACAGCCCCTGACAACTTCCCCTCTGAAGTGCCCAAGTTGCACAGTGAAGCAGCTCTCAGCTGTTTGCCAGACATGGTTTTATTTTAATCTTTTTTAGGTGCTAGAAATGTTTGCAAATATTTTTGTAGGTTTTGTTTTCTTTATTGGTCAGTATTTCAGAGTTGCCCAACTGTGCAACTCTTTAACTATCCAAGCCATGAAGTGTTGCCTGCACAATATTTTGGTAAGTGCTTGAAATCAAAGTACAGTCGAAACCTGCCAAGGACATTGACCAATCAGGGTTACAAATTGGTTATTTTGTGATATTACTTGTCACTTGACAGATGTCAGACAACAAGCTATCAAGCAAGCAAAGCCACAAAAAGATACCTGCTTCCTAAGGGGGTAGGAATCCCTTCTAATCCTAGCTTATTTAAGAAGCAGGGACTTTTAACACCAATCAAAAGAAAGAGTTTCTTTTTAAACAGGATTTTTTATGAGGCTAAACAGGTTTTTCTGACAGAAAAATAGGCAGCCATGAAATCATCTGCATATGAAATCTATTGAAACAATCTTGTTTAGCCCTGTCAAAAACCCTGCTCAAAGAAAAACTGTTTCATTTGCCAGCTCAAATAAAAGTACTCACAAAAGGTGGACAAATTGGAGATTCTACCATTCCAGAATACCAAGAAGTTGGAAGGAAGCATGGAAAAGGTAGGGGGAGCTGGGAATAGTCAGGGCAATATAGCAAAACTAGAGAATCACACTTAAAAGGGAGCGATATAGTCATTGCCCTATTTTGCAGGTGAGGATACCCTTATTTGTTTGCTTTTCTCTTGGCAGCTTGCTTTTGACAGCTGTCAAGTGAAACACAAAGTAATAAAGTAACCTATTTGCAGCATTGCTTTGTCAACATCCATGGATGTTGCCTCCTGCACTTTGGCAAAAGGTTAGGGTACTTACTGGGTCATCAACTAGGCAAAACCAACTTGTCAGAGGCACACATTTGTGTACCTCTAAATCATTAACCAAAATTTAGCACTAAATAAAAAGCATACTCTTATTACCACTCTTGCTGAGCAACTCATTCACTGCTTCCCTGAACCCACAGGGAATATTATACACCCAGGTAGATTTAGGCTTGTTTGTACTTGTATTTTGTAAGTTTAGACTTACATGAATGATACATGCATGATATTTCCCTTCAGCTTCAAGAGCAGTTTGCCATGCAGCCGTTGGGAGGCTGTTGTTTCTGCAAAAGCTTCTCCTTTTGGGCTCACTGAACTAGCTTTACAATTCTTTGGATCCTGACCTCAGTTGTAATCTTCTTTGCATTTGAGTCCAAGTTGGTTGTATGCCAGGCTGTTGTCAGATTCCTAAAGGGTTAGTGGCAGCAAGCCTGGAGAGCCAGCTAAATTAAATAAAATAGTCTGAATTTTCTTTTTAAAATGTAGGAAAATTTGAGTGCAATACCACTGCTTCAGTTAGCATTCTTCTTGCTTAAAGAGACAGTGGGTACAGTCCAGACATAGCTTAAGTGTGCTTCACATTCATTGATTTCAGTGAGACATGAGCTCACTTAACTCCCTTTGCACTGTGCCCGAATTGTTTAGCAATTCAGCAACTAACAAATTATGTAGGGTGCAGTGATTGCTGTTGATCAAGCTTGCTCTATCCCCTTTCCTCTTGTACATTTAAATCACAATCCTAATCCCACAGAAATCAGTAGATGTTTCACAATTGAACTAAATAAGCTAAGACTGCACCCTAAAATGTGTGTGTTAAGTGCACTTACTTTGTCTTGACACTTATTTAAATTCTTTTTACATTTGGAAATATTGCATCTTAAGCACAATTTCTGCACTTACTATTGTGTAAAATAAATCCATCCGATATATTTAAGACTTTAAAAATGTATACTTTTTTTCTGACTTTTAATCACAAATATAGGCTCAACGACGGGTTTGTCTGCTACACCACCAGCCTCCTTACCTGGGTCCCTCACCAATGTGAAAGCATTACAGAAATCACCAGGGCCTCAGCGTGAGAGGAAGTCCTCATCCTCTTCAGAAGATCGGACCAGAATGGTAAGGTCAAAGGTAGTTTATTGAATTGGTGTCCAGTCTGTACCATATTAGAGGGCCAGGGTGTGAATGTAATGCCTGATCTCCTAACCAAGTTAGAAGATCTAGAAATGCACCACAGGCTTCAGCTCTCATTCCTTCCCTCACCATGGTTGCAAACTGTGGTTTGGAACTAATAATGGTTAGCAGAAAATGCCAGTAGAGATGTAAAGCTCTCTGCTTGAGGAATACACATACACATATACAAACATCCCTTGTTATAAAAAATTGCATTTATGGATATATTACTGTCGTCGTTTTTCATATAGAAAACTCTTGGTCGACGAGACTCAAGTGATGACTGGGAAATACCAGATGGCCAGATCACAGTTGGACAAAGAATAGGCTCTGGATCATTTGGAACAGTCTTCAAGGGAAAGTGGCATGGTGCGTAACTACTGCATCAAGTATTTTTCACCCTGTGTATAAGAAGGGCAATTTAGGAGAAAAAGCTTTTTTTGTTTTCAGTGAAAGCATAGACAGAATGTCTGACATTGAAGCTTTAGAAGATATCTAGATGTATCTATAATAGACTTTGCAGCCTATTATAATGTAAAAAGTAATGTGAAAGTGTGTGGGAGATAGTGATAGAGAGAGCTTCAGCTTTTGGGTGGTGAAGTAATAAATAAAAATAGAACATCTTTAAGAATAAAATGTAATGATCAGGATCCAGAGACAGTGCTGCTAGTTCTGTGTGTCTAGCAGTGCTTTGGTTTTGCCTTCAATGCAAGCAAGAAGGAAGTGGAACAATCCCACCCACCTTTCTGAAAGACTCTGTATTTTTTTCTCTTTCCTTGTATGTCTTTTTAGATTGTAGGCTTGCAAGTACGGACTATCTTGTTTACAGTTTCTATGTAAACTGCTTTGGGAGTCTTTTTGACTGAGAAGCAGGATAAAAATACCTTGAATGAATTAAGCTACACAGGAAAGCACTTTTGAAAGTGAGGGGACTTCAAAGAACAGTTTGTGATCTGGCACACAAATACTAGTCAAGAAAGAAGTCAATGTGCCGCTAGGCATTGCCCAGGTCCTTGGGTGAACCTATAGTAGTTATTTGCATTTTGACTAATATGTTTTTGTTATTTACTTATTTATGAAATTGTATGCCGTTCAATTACTAACGTCTCTGGATGGCTAACAGCATAAATAAATTGACGACCCACTCTGGCTGCAAATACAATAATAAAATTCAATATAAAACATATTAAAATATTGATTAAATAAAAAAGGTCTTAACCTGGCACCAAAAAACATATAATGACAGCACCAGGCGGACCTCTCTGGGGAGTGCATGCCATAGTCGGGGCGCCACCACAGAAGGCCCTCCTTTGGGTACTCTGTCTCCTAACATCTTTCACAGAGGGTTCCCGGAGGAGGACTTCTGTTGCTGATCTCAGGGGGTGGGAGGACAAATATGGAAAAAGGCATTCCTTAAGGTATCCTGGTCCCAAGCCATTTAGGGCTTTATAGGTAATAAACCAGCACTTTGAATTGAGCCTGGACTTCAAGGGGAAGCCAATGGAGCTGATAGAGGACTGGGGTTATATGAGAATAATGCCCAGTCCCCAACAGCATCCTGGCAGCTCTGTTTTGCACCATCTGAAGTATCTGGACTGTCTTCAAGGGAAGCCCCACATAAAGCGCGTTTTCCAACTGGGAAGTAACCAATGCGTGTGTTACTGTTGCTACGCAATCCTCCTCCAGGTAGGGACGCAGCTGATAGATTAGCCGAAGCTGAAGGAAAGCGCTCCTCACCACCCCTGTTACTTGAGCTTTCTAGGACAGCTCCAGGTCGAGGAGCACTCCCAAGCTGTGGACCCTGTCCTTTAGAGGGAGTGCAACCCCATCCAGGGCAAGTCCATCCCATCCATGTTTTGCATAATGGGACTTCATAAAACAATTAATGCTATTCTATATATGGACAAAATAGAGCACATATTGGTAGCTGATCTTCATGCTTCCATTCCTTATTAAGAAGCATATATACTCCTGACCTTTAAAAATTGCTTTTTAAGGTGATGTTGCAGTGAAAATGCTGAATGTTACAGCCCCCACCCCTCAGCAGTTACAAGCCTTTAAAAATGAAGTAGGAGTGCTCAGGTAAGATTATGTGAACTGCATTTTGATGATATAGCTGGTGCAAATTGACCTAGAAAAGCCATTCATCTGGAGCCTTTTGTCCAGAACACTGTGCTTCTGCCAGTCTGTCTGATGAAAGAGTTAATATTTTCATGGTGTTTGTTTGTTTTCTGTACTGTCCATCAGCCACGGAGGCTCTCTGGGCAGTTCACAGCATTAAAATATACAACAAACAATCCATAATCAACAATATAGAATAATCAACAATATAGAAAAATCAATAAAATCCAACAGAAATAATACTTCCAATAAAATGGCAACAATGAACCCAGAACTGCAGTCAGATCAGTACGGAGGTATAAGGGATGTACATGGTAATATACAATGTAAAGATGAGAATACATTTTAATTGTTAAAATACTGGGTAAGTAACAAGCTTTTTATCTGGCGCCAAAAAAGAATAAAGAGTAGGTGCAACTCTTTCGGGAGCTGGTTCCATATTCGGGGTCCCACAAATGAAAAGGCCCTTCCCTGGTAGTCATCCTCTTTGCTTCCTTTATAAGGTACACTCTGAGAAGGATCTCTCAGACGATGACCTCAAGGCCCAGGTTGGCACATACGGAAAGGGGCATTCCTTCAGATAGCCTGGTCCAAAACCATTTAGAGCTTTAAACGTTATTGTTAGCACTTTGAATTGAGCCTGGACTTCAATTGGTAACCAGTGCGATTGCGAGAGGACTGGCATGATAAGTTCTTGTCAACTGAGTCCCATTAGCAGCCTTGCTGTGCTATTTTGAATCAGTTGTAATCTCCAGACCATTTTCAAAGGCAGCCCATGTACAGTGCATTACAGTAGTCCAAATTAACAGTTGTGGTAGTGCCTGCCGTGGCTCAGAGCAGTAATCCCCCAGCACCACCTTCTGGAATTGGATGGTCAAGTAGAAGCAGAACTGCTGCAAAGCAGTACCTCTTACTGCCAACTCAACCCGTCTATCCTGAAGGATACCATGGTTGATGGTATCAAAAGCTGCTGAGAGGTCCAGGAGAATCAACAAGGTTGTACTCCCCCTATCTTTCTCCCAGCAAAGGTCATTCCACAGGGCAACCAAGACAGTCTATGTTTCAAAGTCAGGCCTGAAGCCAGATTGAAATGAATCTAGATGGTTAGTTTTATTCAAGAATGCCTGGAGCTGTTCAGCCACCACCTGCTGAAACACCTTGCCCAGGAAAGGATGATTGGCCACAGGCCTATAGTTGTTAACATCTTCTGGGTTCAGACCAAGTTTCTTCAGGACTAGTTTAATTACAGTCTCTTTTAAAGAGGGTGGAACCACTCCCTCTTTCCAGGCAGCATTTACAGCCTCCTGGACCCATGTACAAATCCCTTACTTAATTCTGAAGATAAGCCATGTTGTGCAAGGGACAAGCATACAGGTGGTAAGCCAGACTTGCCCAAGCACCTTGCCCACATCCTCAGACCTTAATAACTGAGAGCCATCCCACAAAATTGGACCAGACTGGTTATCTCTGTTAAAGGAGCTGCATTGAATGTGGAGTCCAATTCATGATGAATCCGAGCATCTTTATCCCGACAGTGCTGTGCAAATTCGTCACACTGAACTACTGAGGGTTCCACAGTTTCTTTCTCTAGCTTGGATGGTAAGAGGCCATGAATATAGTTTGCCCTCTGTTGCAGTCCCCATCTCTTACAATTTTTCTTAATTCCTACACAGTGAAAGAGAATTGGATAATTTCATGTTGTCAAAGCAATGTTCTTTGACAGAGTAAAACCAAAGCTTTTCTGCACTTCCTGTGCATTGTATGCACCTTTGTCAACCTTGATTCCCTCCTGACTTCCCCTGATTATTCATTGCTATCCTGCAGACATCTGAGAAGGGATACCATCTATAAGTGTTCCTATGCATAGGCTAGAAGCCTCTGAGCCCAAATAAGAGAGCTGGAGTGCTTGGTTTTAAAGGAGAGGCAAATACAATGGGCATTACAGAAAGCTGGTGGAATGGAGGGAACCAGTGGGATATCTTGAAAGGAAGGATTGGGAAAGATATACTGGAGGACATGTTGCTCTGTCCTTGAGAGTTAGTTGGAAAAGAAAAACAGCAAATTAGAAGAGTGGGAATGGATGAAGAGATACTGCTACACTACAGGTTTTGCTTGTGTTTTCATACACAAATCATGGGCCTTCTTGGCTGTGGCTGTTCTTTACGGTGTCTGACACAATGTCTAACAATAATTTTTATCCTTTCTGTTAGAATACCAGACCTTAGGTCATTCAGTGAAACTGGCAAGAGACGCAGGGCAAAAAAGAGTATTAGCTTCACATAACACATAATCAAGGCACATTCTTCTGCATGTGTAGACAGAAAAAATCCCATAATTTCCAACATGTTCCAGTGGTTGGGGCATAATGGAATTGGTTGGCCTGTATTTTTTTTCTAAACATGTATTAGATTGTGCCATCATTGAATTGGCTGCCAAAGGATGGCCACTAGGTTAAGATAACTAAAGAGAACAGTAGAGGAAATGAAGAAGTTAAATGCATGTTGATCTTGCAGAAGCTCCATATTCAGAAACAGACTTTAGGTCCACCTGAGGCACCTCACTTCAGATCTGATGGTATTTTAGAATAAATTAAACCGCTGTGTCAAAAATATACAAAATTTGAATGTGTATGGGAATAAAATAGTGGGGCAGAGTATCAATAAACAAGCAGAAAAAAAGCTCACAGACTCCCCTTTAGTCACAGGATTTCCTAAGGTGTTATATGTTACTCCCAGGACACTCATGAGTTGAACACCTTATACCGGGGTCCTCAAACTTTTTGAACAGGGGGCCAGTTGAAAGGTGCCAGCGATGGGCACGGGCCGCAAAGGCAGTGCGGGCAGGAGGCCGCGTGTGCACCTGCAGTGAGGCAGGGGTGTGCATGTGCAGAGATCATTTTCTCCAATCGAGTCCAAAACGATCTCCTTACAAGCAAGCCGTACACACAGCGAGGTGCCAGCTTGCTTGCAAGGAGATCATTTTCGACTCGCTCAGATAAAAGATCTCTTTGCGAGCGAGCTGCCGCTGGGCGCGCACACAACGAGTCCAAAACCTCTATGGTGGGCCGGATAAATGGGCATGGTGGGCCAGATCTGGCCCACGGGCCGTAGTTTGAGGACCCATGCCTTATACCTTCATTGAGGCCCTACAGGTTTTGTGCAGCAATTAAGCCTCACAAGCTGCACATAATGCCTGTGCATAATGCCTGTCCAGTCACACTTCTCAAAATAGTGTCTTCTGATTATTGATCCCTGTACAACCTTACCTTGGAATCAGCAGCTTGAGAGGGCTGTTGTCTTCGTGTCATGCTTTTGGGTTCCTGGAGACATCTGGTAGGCCATGATGGGAAATAGGATGCTGCATTAGGTAAACCTAATCTAAGTTTCTCCTGTCCAAAAAGGCTCAGTTTATATAAATAATGCATAAGAGGAGTTTTCATATTCTAGTTGACATGTGATCAGCAAATGTTTTCAATGATTTTAAGTGTTTGTTTGATTTTACAGGAAAACACGACATGTGAATATATTACTTTTCATGGGTTATTCAACCAAGCCGCAGCTGGCTATAGTTACACAGTGGTGTGAAGGTTCCAGCCTTTACCACCATCTACACATCATTGAGACCAAATTTGAGATGATCAAGCTGATTGATATTGCACGGCAGACAGCTCAAGGAATGGAGTAAGTATAGTATCACTTGCTCATCAGAAGGGAACGGGAAGGCTGGTGGTTGTTCACCCACTGCGCTCTCCACCATATATGAGATGAACTCAGCAGCTTCATAGGAAACCTATAAGGAAGGTATCAGCTCAGTTTTAAAAAGTGAATGCTGTTTTCAGCTTGTAGACAGGTTGGAATTTGTTGTGTAGTTTATGAAAATTGATATATTAAAAATATTGCATAACATTTGCCTCTAGCAAAGCTATCAGCAATTTGGGAAATTACCCATTCAGTGGTACAGGCCTGTTTTCAGAGAAGAAACAAGGACAACTGCATCTTCATATAACAGGGATTACCAGCAGTGTCTCAGAAGCCAAAAGTGGCCCTTTCACAGTTCCTTTGTAGCTCTTGAGCCAGCAAAAGATATCCATGGATTTTCCAGCTCCTAATATCACCCCCAGGATGCCAAAGAATGGAGTAATTCCTGCCTTTTACAGCCACTTGGGCTGTAAATGCCTTGAGGCACAGGGAGAGCATGCCATATCTTCAGTATTTTTAAATTGTGTTTTTATGACAAGATGTTGAATGGTTTGGTGTCAGTCCTTGTAAAATATCCTGACCTACTGTTGACCCGAAGAAAAACATAAGAATGGGGTGGAGGTGTTGATGGATTTTTAATGTGCAGAGGTTGAAATAAACCTTGTAGATGAACAAGGTTCTTGGTGGGGATATTGTGGAGGAGTCATCTGAAACTCAAGGTAATGATTACAACTGGCACATTTTAGTGGAAGGTTCCAAGAGGTTTTCATAGATTCCTCCATTAAGGGTGATAATTAAATTACTGATAAGTAGATGTATTTGGGTGACTATAATAGCAAAGGAATTGTATACAAAATCAGAAGCATTTTTATGTAACCTTATTTATTCTCTGTAAAGTTCTTGTAGTAATGCTAAGGTGATTTAGACCCATACTGCTTTTTATTGTGAGTAAAACTGATAAGTTTTCATTTCCATTCCTGATAAAGATAACACTGGCAAATGGGGAGGCAAGGTTTAAGGGGGAACTTGAAATTCTGTTTTGGCACAAGTTATTAAGTTGCTTCCCCACCAGACTCCCTCCATAAGTACAGCCTGCAAGATCTATACTGTTCCCTGAATCAAACTCTAATAGAGATTTTCATAATTACTACTTTACTATGGCTAGCAGTCTTCACAGTAATGGCAATGGTATTTGTGTGGTTGTGTTGTTCTGCGGTGTTCTGACTTACTGAAGATTGATTTCTCATGTTCTTGCATCCGAAGCATTTTAATTGGGCCAGAAATTTTGGATTGACTGCAATGCATCATACTGCAAGCAGAATTTATCCTCTAAAGCAGAAGCTGGCAACTTTCAAAGGTCAGGGAGCCATTTTTGTTCCCCCCTCCCCTCGAAGGGTGCCAGAAAGGATGCTGTGTCTTATTAATTTTGTTATCACCACCCTGAGACACTGTAAAGGGCAGAATACAAAAATTCTAAATAAATATATAAATAAATTCCACCAGTTTGCCAGCAAACTAAAAAAAAAAAAAACATTGCTACAGATTTTGTTGGGGGGGCAGGTTAGGAGCATCTACTAAAAAGTGGTGAGGCCCATGTGTGGGCCAGATGTTGACCACTCTTGCTCTAAGCTCCTAAATGTTTCGACCAAGCCCTTTTCACTTGCCTATCACCGAAGGCAGTTAGGTTGGTGAGTAAGGAAGAGGGTCATTTTGGTAACAGCCTCACACATCAGCACAGGGCTTCTAAGGCATTTGTCTGCCCCTTTGTTACAGATCTACAGGAAAACCCTGAAGACTCACTTCTTTTCATTTTTAAAGTTTGATTTTATTTATTTTGTATGCCTTATTTTTATCATATCTTACTGGGGGTTTTTTGTTATTTTTTCCCTTCTGGTGTTTAAATACTAAGGTTGGTATAACTGCAGTTCCGATTGGTGACTCCATCCTAAGCGTATCTACTTGACTTGCCACTTATGTTGATTTTCAGGAAATTTACTTCCTAGTTGTATATGTTTATACTAAACTTCCTGATTGTATGTGTTTATATCCTTCTTTTCGGCTAAGATTATCGCTTGAAAGCAGCTAACACTTAAACTCCTCCATTAAACAATTAGAAGGTATAGTATGTTAGAGCAATGTAAAGGTGTTTGTGGCAGTCTCTTTGGACCTTGGTGGCTGGTAACAGTTCATATTCAAAGCTCTACATTCCAGAACAAAGAGGGAAGAAGGAGCTGCAGATATGTGCATAATAAATGTGCATAAACTTGTAACCCATGTGTCTAAAAATGCTGTGGCATAAAGGTACCAATATGTTGATGTAGCAAACTTGAAATGGCTTGGCCCTGTGTAGCTTAGAAACTGCTTCTCTGTTCTCTGCTTCTTAGAAACTGTGTGTGACATCTTTAAGACAATATGTGCAGTCAGCTCACTTTTCTTATATTTTGTTGCTTTCCAGTTATTTGCACGCCAAGTCTATCATCCATAGAGACCTCAAGAGTAATAGTATCCTTTTCCTGAAAACCGTACCTTAAGTGTTCCTCCTCCTTGCTTTAAGTACCTCCTCTGAAAACTTGAAAGAGAAGTAAGTTTAGAGGGATCAGTTAATGATCTGAGTGCAGAAACATTAACAGCTGTTTGCCCCTTTGGATTGTAAAGAAAACCAACCGTTCTTTAGGGGAAATTACCTATTCCTAAATAGGTGCATCAGAACATGACTGGGAGTAGGCATCCTAATTGATATTTCAGTGAAGCGTGAACAGCTTCTGTATATTGATTTATGTCTTGCTTCATGCTGCTGATTTCTAATCCAGCAAGTAATATGTACCTGGATCTCCTTTGGGGATAACTTGTTCTTGAATGGAGAAGAACTTGTTTTTCAGAATGCAGTGGCAAGATTTAGGCAAAAATATATTAAGACTTGCTAGTAGAATCATCGTGTCCCAATGAGCTGTATTTCATTGTATGTTACCTTGGAAGTACCATATGATCTTTGTCTCATACAAACAACTGAAGCATTTCCTAGCTTTTATCAATTTTGAAGATTTCATATAGTCATCTCTATCACAGTTTATTCATTGTGCTTACTATTAAATGATAGGAATGCTATTCAGATGTCAGCTTGAACTCAGCTTAGATTATAAAATTGACTGTTGATATGGGCTTTTACAGATGCTGTGTGGACACAGTAAGTTCTTCTGTGGAACATTAGGAATTGTGTCTTTTCTGTTTCTTCTTTACATCTCCTGTTCAGATATATTTCTTCATGAAGACCTCACAGTAAAAATAGGTGACTTTGGTCTAGCAACAGTGAAATCACGGTGGAGTGGGTCCCAGCAGTTTGAACAGTTGTCAGGATCAATTCTCTGGATGGTAAATAAAGCAGATATTCTCCAAACTGTTTTCATTCTGTCCAGCCAGCACCATCTCTGGTGCCTGCCTGGCATCTGTGTCACCTCTCTAGGATGGCGATACAGTTCTGGCTTAGCTGAGCCCTAACACTTAGATACTGTGCCTTTTGCTTTTTTCTGTGTTACTCCTTTCTCCTGTTCCACTGGATTGAGCTCTGGTGGTGTCTCAGCCCATATGAGCTCTCTCTTAAGATCAGCTCAACATTTATGCTAAACATTGGCCTGGTAGAATTCTCTCAACTAGTGTAATAATTCAGATGTGATGCTATCACAACTTAACACTTTGTTGTTGTTAGTTGTGAAGTTGTGTCTGACCCATCACGACCCCATGGACAACATTCCTCCAGGCCTTCCTGTCCTCCACCATCCCCTGGAGTCCACCCAAGCTCAGTGACTCCGTCGACTGCTTCAGTGACTCCACCTAGCCACCTCATTCTCTGCTGGCCCCTTCTTCTTTTGCCTTCAATTGTTCCCAGCATTAGGCTCTTCTCCAGTGAGTCCTTCCTTCTCACTAGGTGGCCAAAGTATTTGAGTTTCATCTTCAGTATCTGGCCTTCTAAAGAGCACTCAGGGTTGATCTCCTCTAGAACTACCAATCCCAATAACTGTGGTAGTGCTTACATAATTTATTACCTTGTATTAGAGATTTGGGGAAAATAGGCAATTGGCTGTTATGGACTAGGATCTTTTATGCTGTGCTTTCAGAAACAGGCTTCAGGTTTAATAACTTAAGGTATAAGAAAATACCCTGCCATTGCAACAGAATAAAAGCATTTTTTTTCTTTATTGCAGGCACCAGAAGTAATTCGGATGCAAGATAAAAACCCATATAGCTTTCAGTCCGATGTGTATGCATTTGGGATTGTTCTTTATGAGCTGATGACTGGGCAGCTACCATATTCTAACATCAACAACAGGGACCAGGTAGGGCTTTGGAGAGGCTTCTGTTTTCTGTTTATGTTTAATTTGTGCTATTGTGCTCTTAACCTGTGACATTAGCAAGTGATTTAAACCTGCATGATGGCCTTCTGTATAATTTTCATTTTGTTTTGCTTCATGTAGAGGCCTTAAGAAAACATTATTATCACCTTTTTGGTTGTATATCAAGGAACTAAGAAGTCTGTTCTCACGTACAGAATAATGCAAGAAGCCAGAATACTCAATTATTCACCTGTTAATTATGTGCCTCTGCTGTTTTGCTTTCTGGTAGCCACTTGCCTGAGAGTCAGTATTATGTAGTTGGCAGTGCTGAAATTGGCCCAGAGATTTCTGAATTTAAATACAGGTGACCTGGGACCTAATCATATGTTTGCATTCTGAGATAACATGGAGTAACCCTCACACATGTTGCTCTGAATGTCTTAGAGGACAGATGAAGGAATAATATGCTCCTTTTCTGTGGCAATATCCAGGAGACTGACAGACTATTTGCTTAAAATGTCTGCTAAGGTTCAGTAGTTTAGTGCAGACTGGGACTTATGGGAACTGGGTCCATAACATCTGGAGGACACCAGGTTGGGAAAGGTTACATCTTACTGTGCCATTTTAATCTTCCAATGCAACCCCCCCCCAAAAAAAAAACTCCCTCAAAAGCTAATTCAGCTATGAAATAAGAGCTTAGTTGAAATTCTGTGCAGGAAGTTGAATTTTCTGCAACTTCCAGGGTTTTTGTTTTAACAGAATACTTCCCTTCCCCTCAGTTTTATATGTAGTAGAAGTTTGTTTGAATATTCTCTTTTCTAATTTTTCTTCTTACCCCCTCCCCAAATAAAGATAATTTTTATGGTGGGGCGAGGGTACCTCTCTCCAGACCTCAGCAAAGTGCGGAGCAATTGTCCCAAAGCCATGAAGAGGCTAATGGCAGACTGCTTGAAAAAGAAGAGAGATGAACGGCCCCTCTTCCCACAGGTAAGAAATGTGCTTTGTTGGGTTCTCACAGTACTATACTCCTTAGTGCTTGGTTCAGGTACAACATTTTACCTGTCTAGCTTAAAAAAGGCCAGCAAATATGAGCTGAAAGAGTTGAGCCAAAATGAGCCATCATGGTGGCAAATTGTGGAAGTCATTTTTATGGGATTTGAGGTAAAGAAGTGTAATAGCCTGGCTGGTTTCATGGCAGGGGATATGGTGCTTATTGTGGCTGTAGTAGCACTAATGCCTTTTTAAAAATTTTACTAAAAACACACTCCTTGCTACTTCTGCGACATCAGCTCTTTCTTTAGCAGTTTAAAAGTTCATCCAGCTGTGCTGGCAGCAGCCAGAGCGCTCTGCTCACCACCATGTTCTCACCCTCTCCCGCCTGAGTGACCCTGGATAATGCTAGCAACAAAGTGATGTTTAATGATATTTGGGTCACTAGTCATCATCCAGCATCATTGTGAAGAGATGGCAGCTTGAGCAGAGCACTTCAGCTGCTGAAGTAAAGAAATTGATGTTGATTTAGCAGTAAACATCACTTAAGATTTCTGAGAAATGGGTGGAGAGACTTGCTCTAATTAAGCATTTCAGTTGTGCACTCTTCTTTCTCACAGATGCTTATTGTATAACTTTTTACTTTATGTGTGTGTTTCTTTTTCTTACCTTCTTTGTCGCAACCTTCTGCAAAAATAAAAGAGCACTGTGGTATTGCTGGCACAACTCATTTGTATTTCTGTGCATGAGCCAAGTGGATTGCAGTCTGCCAGTTGAAGACCACAGGGTGAAGAGATGGTTCACACTGAGATGAAGAGTTCATCTAACATGTAGTCTGTCCAATCATTACCTATCAAGACCCTGTAAGAAAATGGTGTGGGGGGTACAAAATACAATGAACAATCACAACTTCAGAGCTGTTCTGAATTTACTTTTTAATCATCATTCCAGTGCCTGAACTGCAGCGTCCTTTTGTAGTGTTCCAATAGTGCTTTAAGCAATCAACCTTCTCTAAAGTGTTAAATTTTGATGCTGCCTCATGAACAGAGAAAGCTGAAGCAAGCAGCTCTGCTGTCTCTGTCACCATTTTGTGGAGGGGCGGCTTCAGTTCAGAAATGGCAGCTTCTTCTCCATTTACTAGGCATCTCAAAAAACATTGCAAACAGCATGATGTCAGAATGACATCTTGCTGAGAATTAATTTGTTCAAGTTTGTGACAATTTTGTTATTTGCACTCTGCAATGTTAGGCTTTCGCTTGTTTTTGCTTTGTTTTCAGATCCTTGCTTCTATTGAGCTTCTAGCCCGGTCGTTGCCAAAAATTCACCGCAGTGCATCTGAGCCCTCCTTGAACCGGGCTGGTTTCCAGACAGAGGATTTTAGCCTGTATGCTTGTGCTTCTCCAAAAACACCAATCCAGGCTGGGGGATACGGTGGGTTTTCTGTAAACTGAAAACATGTGTCCATGTGTATGATATATGCCCATATATGTTTTACATTGCAGCAAGCTAATTTTTTATGGCTTGACGGTATAAAGACTTATCTAACTCTGAGACGTCTATATTCCTTGAATGGCATCCATTGCTGGCAATGGACTGTCTGGGAATTGCCACCCCACAAAGGTCCATGAAAGGCTGCTCAGTAGAAAAGGGATAACTTGTTGAAAGTTAATGTACCCATTTATGTGTGGGTCAAGTTTTTTGTGCCATCTTTGCTGTATAGGTTAGTTCATAGGTGGTTGGTGGAGTTTTATATTTGCATCTTACGCTGTTTTTGTTGCTTTGATCTTTGTCATGCAATAACAACCATTTTAGATTCTCAAGTCAGCAACATTGCTGATGTTGCCTAAAGGTAAGGCAAAAGATTAAAGGTTAGGTGTATCCATGCATGTTTTTACTTAAGCCATTGTGGGTTACAGCGTTTGACAGCAGCCATTGTGAATATACAAACTGCAGGTTGCAGTCACCATAGCTTATTGTGAGGTCTCAACCTGATGCAGGATTGGTGGTCTTCATGGCTAAAAAAAATCCCCTACTCCAAAAGAGCCGATGGGTTGTGGAGGGATTTGTTAGCCATGGCAGCAACCCATGCTGCCTGGGTTCACACCTGCAGTTTGAATATTCAGAATGGCTGCCAGCACATAGCACAACCACTGAGCTACAGCATTCATGCACACTGCCCAAAGACTTTGGCAGGGAGTTGCTTGTTTTTTGAACTTCCTGCTTATTGGAAATTACTGTTTACTTGGAACTAGAAAAAGGCTTTTACTGTGTTCTTTTTTGTTCTTGGGGGAAGATAGGGCTGTTTATTTCTTTGTATTGCCTCTATTTTGGTCCACTGCTTAATGTTTCCTTCATCTGTTTGAATCATTGCTGGATATTTTGCTGTAGGCCACCTTAGGCATGCTAATGAGCATCACTAGACCAAATAGACTAGAGGGGACTGTAAAAAAACGATACAAGAAAATCTTGCTTTTGTCTGTGTGGCTGTACATTAGAATGGCTGCCATACATTAAAATAATGCTGCCCATAATGGGGAAAATAGTCTTGTAAAAGCAAAGTGGTAAACTTTAAAAGTTGTCTAAAGTTGGGAAATGAAAGTTTCACTACCTATTATTTTTCAAAAGTCAATGGCTTGTTGCTGTTGCTCAAATTTATGTGTGTTAATGTTTCTTCTAAAGTCTCCTTTCTGTGGAGAAAATATTTTATGCTTGTGTATGGAGTTTATCCAGTTAGGTGCAAAGATTTCCAGCAAAGGAGTCTTATTGTCAAGAGCCATGATAGAATTGACTCTTTCCATTCCATTCCTCCCCATGGAAGTGGACAGCCATCTGAGTGTGTTGGTGTAAATTGGTGTCCTGAAACAGCAGGGGGTTGGACCAGATGGCCTTCATGGCCCTTTCCAGCTCTACTATCCTATGAGTACTATTCTGTGACACACTCTTTTCTTGTTGGAGTGTCTATCTTGAGCAGGTAAATTATAGTTTTGCCTTCACTGCTGAGCTCTGGTGACAGGAATTTAAATAGTAACTTTTGTATCTGTAGTGTCAGACTCTTTTGCCTTTATCATTGAGATTTTGGTTATTTTATTATTCCTGATTGATTGTATGCTTTTCACCATAGCCAATGCTATGTGTCATATCTATCCTCTTTCTTCTTGCATGAAGAAATTTGCAAAACTACACTAGCTGGTTTTTTTGTTAAACACATACAGGTAGGAAAGATAGGTAGATAGCCAGCTGATTCTTGAATCAGACCTCCTGAGGAAGTGTTGGGCCCTTGCTACCATGGGATTGTTAAGTCCAGTTGCCAGGAGTCCATGTCCTACTCTGGTGTCTCTCTCTGCTGTGTGTTTGCTTGTCTGTTTGCTTCCAGTGTTTAGTACCAGGTGGCCGCCATTTACATTTCCCACATTACACCTCACATAGCATTGATCTGGTGCCTTTTGGGAAATTTAGATGGCAGTCATTTGTTGCTAATTGAAATGGCACCTTTATATGATAGACTTGATAGAGGGGAGGAGAGCATAGGCAGGGCCTCAATGAGGGTTCCTATCCCAAGAACCTCAGGTTGGAGCCTGCTGATGGTAGTCCAGTGCAACCTGTGTGGAAGCTGTAAGCTGCTTTCTGAACAGGTGCTAAATTTGGTCCGGTCAAAGAGGCAAAGCATTGTCCAGGGCTGGGAAGAAAGCCTGTGTGCTAAGAAGGCCCACATCACAATCTGCCTGAGGCAGCTGAGGGTGCATCAGTGCTGGCGAGTTTCTAAAAGGTGGGTCATAGGAGTTAAGGCAGAGGTTCTGTCTCCAACAAGTACACACTTCCATCCCTTGAGAATCCTGGGCAGTAAAGATACATGTAATGGTGAAAGGCAGCTGCTGCTGAGCAGTGATCAAGGGGGAAGGAGGCCTGGCACTTACGGGAAGCTTCTAAGGGTTGGCAGCCAGGGAGCAGCACTGTGCATGCACGTGGCTTACTCGCAGCCAGCAGTGTTTGCGTGTGGGCTGTCAGTGCCGTGGCCCATTTCCCTGTTAAACACTGCAGCTCGCTCAGCCATCACGCACCTTCATGGTGCTTCTGTGCCACCTTGCGGCCTCCCTTTTTCTTGATGGCTTCTTAGCGGGATACCAGCAATCCATCTCAAGAGCTGTTGCAGATTTTGAAAAACGGCAACAACTCTTCTCTGTTCATTGATAGCAGGCCGCTATGCAAAAAACACCTGTGGCCACATTATTAGATTGTGTTGCTTTTGCAATGTGGCTCTGTGAAAGTGAATCAAAGGTAATTGCTTTGACTGTTGCTCAAGCAATTTCAGAATAGAGTGGGAGGCAGGGTTTACTAAGATCCTTTTCGGCTCTCCAGTGTTGCAGTTTTGAACCTGAGACTGGACTAGCTCAGAACATCACTAATATGGGTTGCTGATTGCTGCCTTTTGTGCTGTGCAATACTGTAGTGTGAGGAAAGAAGCTGAATGCAGTGCTCTCGTGGCATGCCATGCTTTTCATGTATAGCCAGAGGAAATACTGAGTGGCACCTCCTGCCCTGCATCTCTCCATAGCAGTATTTCTATCTTCACTGTCCTTTTGTACCAATGAATACTCAGAACAATTAACAGAAACAGTTAAACTAGATGAGCAATAGGAGAACAGTTTCTTGTTTACAGGGTAATCTTTAACCAGCTGTCAATGTAAATGGACTGAAAGTAACCAAAGAACATGTTTTGAAAGGGATGGAAAAACATTACTGTTTTAAAATTCATCTCAAAGCTTTTTTACTGTAGCAATTTGTGATGTTAATAGTTTAGCTAAAGACGTGCTAAGATAAAAGAGAGCTGCATAATATTGCTGTTACCACACACAACCTCTGTTTGTAGGTATGGTTAATAGAATATTAACAGTAAACAATTTACATTGAGACCACTGGGAAATCTACCTTCTAGGTTTTCATAGGTGTATGTAACCTATTCAGATAAACTCTGCAACTTCAACTTCATTACATTATGGTAAATAGAAAGAAGGCTTCATCCATTCCTTGCCTCCTAAATCAATCACTGAATGTTGAGGGTTCATAGTACACAAACCAAACACAGAATACAGACCCCTACTGCTTTCCTTAAAAGTCTGGCCCTGAGCCCTTCAGACAGCAGATATCTCTGTGTTAGATCCTTATAAGCTAAAAACATCTGAGTACAAATCTTAGAAATGTAAATTATAATAAAACCTTGTTTTTGCAAGCTCCCCATAAGAAACTCTTTTTTTTCTAAGAACTCTTAATACTCTGCAAGATGGGCCAAATTTTATTTTTAAAGCTAGCTTAGGAAGAGATTTTGTGTTCTTAACTTTGTGTTCTATCTCCATCAAAAAGATCCTTCCGTACATTTATAATTATTAACCACTGCATTTTTCCCTAACATCTTCTGCATCCTGTATATAGCATCAAATTTATACTGGATAACATTTCTGTCTGTCTTTTGAATAAAACCCAACTTTTAAAACTTGGCTCTTGTCCTCCCTCTGCAGGCGAATTTGCAGCGTTCAAGTAGCCACAGCAACATTGGCAGCAAAACCACTCTCTTATTTTTAGTCTTGTGTTCCTACAGTTTCTTTTTATAACGTCCAGACTCTGTTCTGCCCCTTCAAACAAAGTAATTTAGAGATCCGTATGCTTAAAAGAGCAGAGCAGATTGGAGCTCCCAATCCAACTTTTGGTGGGAGGGAAAAATCTCTTAGGAACCAGAATCTCTCTGCTGCCTGTGTGCTCACCTCCACCCTTAACGCCATGTGCATTCGGAGACCCCCCCAGTGGCTGCCTGTACCGTTGGCATCATTCCCAGGAGAGAGGAGGGCCCACGCTTTGACTTTCTGGTGCTCTGGCATGATGAGATTGGAACTCCTGCTGCATCATAGGCTTGGGATGGTCTGCTGGTCGGCTTTCTCCCTCTAACAACGAATCATCAGAGGCTGAACATCTGATGAGACAGAGCTAATCAAAACAATCATCTTCTGGTCTGATTTTATTTTGTGTGTGTGTGCGTGTTTCCTGGTGTGATTACTGATCAGTGGGGTAAATGCAGTATCTCCTTTTCAAGCATATGTGAGCACCATCTCTTTTAAGTTTAAAAACAAAACCAAACATAGCCAAATTTGTCTGATAGGTGGAAGAGGAATTTTTGGAAAGGGGACACAATTCAATTGAGACACCCGTAAGCCTCTGAACTATGCAAAGTGGAAGTAGCAGAGGAGATGATTTTTGCCTTCCCACTGCTCTCACTCTGTACTTCTGCTGGACAGCTGAAGCCAGGGGCTTTGGAGCAGGAGGGAAGGGGCTGCATAGAACACAGAACACATTGCAGCCTGACTTCTTGCAGTCTCTTCTCCCCCCACCCCAAGAATGCCTCTTAAAGTCCTCTTGGAAGTTGAGTTCTTGACCTCAGAGTGGTAGCAAGTACAGCTATTTCTGCACTGGCTGCAAGGGGAAGGGAGGGGGTGGAGTACAGATTCCCAGCTTGAAAATTGGAGCTCTATCTGTGAAGATCTTGGAATCCTAAATATTTTATGGCTGCTTAGACTCTGTATAGGGGCTGCAGGGGTTTGCCCTTAATTTGAAGGAAAAGGGGATGCTGCACCTTCTCTTTCCAGAATTGCTTTTTATTTCTCTAGAGCCACCCTTTCCCCCATCTTTCCTTTTTTTGTACTCTTTTTCAAAAGGGTCGGGAGGCTCTTTTCATCAGTCCAGCAAATGACAAACATTTTTACAAAATTGTAACAAAGTTCTCAGTGTGCGGCTTCTTTTCATTTTTGTGTTTATCATTTGATTCTGTGTGTTTTGTGTGTGAACTTTTTGGGGATGCCCAGAAAGTCTAATGCAGACTATGAATAACAAGTGTACCTGTTTTAAAAGGTGCAAGATAATGTCAGGTACCTAATGTTTCATAAACATAAGTTCTCAGGTTGAATTGAATATGTTTTAAAAAGAAAACCCAGCCACAACCACCCCTAAGAATTAGACATTCCAAAAAATGTGCTTTGGTACTTTTTAAAAAAGAACTTTTAATCATGTTAACTCAGCAAACTCAGTTTGTGTGTGCGCGCGTGTGTGTGCGTGTGCGTGTATTAATATGCAGTAACTTGTCTTACGTGGCAATTTGCTGGTTTCTGTTTTTTGTTAAGAAATGGTACTTGCTGGATCAACACTGCATTCTTCTCTCACCATATTCCTGTCCTCAACCTTTTTCTCCTAACTGCTTTTCTTTCCCTAAATTTTGTATTTGTGGCTTAAAAATAGTGGTGATTGCATTAGGCTTTTTCTTTTTGCTTTGCTCATAATCATACTTTACAACAAGGTTCCCAGTTCTTATGTTTATGCAGTAAGAGTAATGCAAAACAAATATACGTTAGCTCTAGTGGAATCACAATGTTTTAAGCAGAATTCTCCACTGTGGTCATTAACATAGGAGGGTTTTGTTTTCATTTTGTAAAGAGGCAGGTTTGATGCAACTGGAAGGAAAATCATTGTTCCCAGAAGCCTTGAGGTTTAGTGCATTTCTGCCCAGCTCTGATAGGTATGAGGCTAGAAGAAGCTACTCCTTCACTAGCACTTTCTATTAGGTAAGATAAGGTCATCTAGTCAGAGAGAAGGGCTGTTATTCAGAGTTTACATAATGATATGCTGCAGCTCTTTTAACTGCAGTTAAGGGAAAGGGGTGGATCTTTTGGGAGGGGGGTGTTTTTGTTTTATGAAAAGGAAACAATTTGTCATGGACCATGTTTTCTAAACTCAGTGTATGCTTCATTGTACATTCAATAGGAACCATTAAATGTAGGTGAAGCACTTATCATAGAATGAGGGTACTTAGAAATTGGAGCAAGTTACGTAATTGAAACACTGTATATTCAAGTATGAGCAGGGTACCACTAGTGGTGAAGATATTGGACATAATTCATAAACAGGTGGGGGATGTTCTCAGTATAAGTGCTGTTGAAGTGAATAAGTTGCTCAAGCTTATGGATGTGTTTGGATAGCTTCTCTTCACTTCAGTGACTGACTGCTTTGGAGAAATGTCCAGTGAATTTTCATGCAATAATGAGAGGAAAGCAATTTGTGTTGGCACATGAAATATGTGCTAGATGTGTTATGTATCTAAACCAGAGAAGCACAACTTTTCCTTGCTGTTCTTGGTGGTGGTCCCCACATTTGGCTAAAGCAGTGCTACTTAAACTTTCTGATCATGGACCCTCCTAAACTTACACTGTTGTCTTATCACCACCTCGAAATGCAGCAACAATAATCTGTTCCAGAAATAAGCATTTTGAAATCTTTACATTTGCTAATGTACATGCAGTATGCTATGGCATGTGGAGACTTGTGGATTGCCCTACTAAGTCCAGCACTGGAATTACAAGTTAAAGAGAGCAGGAGGTCACATACATCCTCATACCATCATGGAGGGGGATCATAAAAACAAAGCTTTTGAGATCCATTCTTACCAAACCACTTCAGAATGATGGAGCAGTGAGGATGCAGTCACCCTCATAAATCCAACATGGATCAGTGTGGCTCTTCTGCCAGGGAGCATTCCATCCACCTGCACACTGGTGGAGATGGAAGGTACCACCCACCTCAACTTTCATCCCTTCCTTTTGTTAAGTGCCCTGCTGCTCCGCAGATCACAAAGTTCTGGGGTATGTTATACGTTACTGACACAAAAAAACCCAAGTGCGCACACAGTAAATGTCTGCATAGGAGTTGAATTCCTATACTTTTGGCTGTAGAATTTTCTTTCCTTACAAGAATATAAGTTGGTTTCCAAGGTTTTGCGTGCAGGTAAGTGTTATGGCAGAGTGGCTGCTTTGGAGGTACTGGGGTTTACAAGAGGAAAGGATGAGATTGCCACCTAAAGAGTGGCAGGTGCAGGGTCATAGTACATAACTTCGTTGCCACTGAGGTATCAGCTGGCTACCTAAATCAGGGCTGGAACACTCGCAGACATCTGCTCATTTGGGCTTCTAAAGACTTGATGCTGTGGCTTGGGAGTGGAAATACTTCAGCCCTGGTCTAGGCAAAACCTTAACATCCTCCACCACTGGCACCCTCTTACCGTAAATCTTGTAACCTCCTCTTATCCATCCTGCCCACACTGACACTTGAGCATGTGATATTCACTGCAGCACAACCAGCCACTCCTGTATCCCTGAGTTCTCCCTCCATGTTGCCCCTCTGAATGGCCCCAATTGCTGCGGATCACTCTCCACAGCTGGTCCCTTCATTCTGCTCCTGCTGTTTGGAAGCTTTGTTACCTTGGCATGCCTTTAGTATCAGATCTTCCATTCTTCCTTAACCACTCCTTGTTCCTGAGCAGCAGGTGGATGTGCCCTAAAACATGGAAGGGGAGAAAATCGTTGGTGTTCTGCAAACAGTCTACCTGTCTTGGGTGTACCAGTGTTAAGGCCAACACTGCTGTTATAGGATTTACTCAGCAAATTCCCCTGTGCCCTATTACCTGAGCTAAGTATCTGTCTAAATAATTTGGAATACTAGATAAATATCTGTGTTTTCTTTATAGTATACTTCTGTTAAGACTAACAAGAATGAGGAATTTGTATCCTGATTTAATTGTATTAGGCAGGCTTCATTATTCATTAGTCTGCAGTAAGATTTTTGGGTTTTTTAAAAATAAAAATCTGTAGGTAAAGCAGTAGGAAAAGTTTATTCACACAAAGCACTTTATCATGAGTGACATATGCTTTGGTTTCTTCTCTTCCATCTAAATATAGTGCAAATAATTTGGCTGCTGGTTCAATAGGATAATTTGTTAATCCATCTTGCTTTCTGCTTCTTTTTTTTCATCCTGCTTTCATTTCCTGAGTCCCGAAGATATTTTCCTAGCTCAACACAAAATGAATTTGAATGTGGGGGGCAAAAGACTCTGCATTGGAGAGGGGTGAACCCTTCACAAATCGTGCAACTTCAGTGAAGCTTGTAAATAACATAATAGGAAAGATTTACTCCAGTCATACAATTTTGCTTGACTTCTCATGCAACATTCTGGCTTTTTCTGATGAACAATGTCAAGTCTCCCTGAACATTGTATCCAGTGACATAAGTTCACTTTTACTGAGTACCTGGTTATGTGCTCAATGTTTGTTCTTAATTCAAGAGACTCTTTTTTCAAAAAAAAAAAAAAACTTTTTTCAGGTCACTTTAATCCTAGACTTTTTCCTGCTTGAAATTGTCCTTAAGGCTGCACTCTTTATACCTCTTACCTGGGAGATAAGAAAATAATGATACATACTTCTGAGTAGACATGTAAACAATTAAATCTTAAATTTAGAGAATCCACTTTGGGTTCCCATGTGAGGACAAGAGTAAGTACAAGTTTTTAAAAATGTGGTTTCTCTTTTATGCATTTAAAAAAATTGTTGGAAGGGTTGTTGTAAGATGCTGTTGAGCTTCAGGTGCAATCACATGCATGTTTAGATAGAAAAAGTGCTACAATTCCCAGTATTCCATAGTCAGCATGATTGACAAATGTTGAGGGTTGTGGTACTTCTTTTTCTATCTGAACATACACAGGATTCTAACACCCTTAGAAAATCAAGGGGGAAATGTCTGTTTGTAGAACTCTTGTCTTTATGCAAGTATTCCTGTGGCTAGGTAAAACACAAATGGATGGTTACTTGTTGCCAGAAACTATTTTTTCCTAAAATGCTACATCAGAGGTGGGCACATTATCCCATGATCCAAGCGCACTGCTTCCCCCACCAGACATCTGCCCTGTTGAGAAATTCGTCAGTAGCTGTGCTGGCAGTACCGTATGCACAGATCAGCTTTAGCACCATCTTTTTGCTAGCATGATGCACTCAGTGTTGCCACCAGCCTTGTATTAGTTTTGGGAAATAATTATGCAAAGCCATTTCTGAGTGAAAGAATTTTCCAGTGCCTAGGCATGAAAACTAGTCTACTGTTTGCCCTACCCACGCCTGCTATAAGTATCTGGTACGGTTTGAGGAAGCCTTTTCTCTCTGCATTGTTCTGCTGGGACTTCCACTGTGAGACATTGTTTTTATTGTTCATTGCTTTTTGGGAGGAATGGGGCTGTTTCAGTCTCCCTCCCTCTCTTTCTTTCTTGTAGCAGAGGGCTTAGTGGAACTTCAGGTATGGAGTATATTTTATTGTATAACTTTTGGACCATGAATGCAGCATACGTAGCACAAACAGTTCATAATACTGTCGTACTTTCCGTCCATCGACAAAGAGAAGTAGAGGTGGAATTCACCCAAAGGGGATGAACAATTGACCCTTATGAGAATACATTCTGGATTCAGTCTGAATCCACTTCAGCTATATTAGCTTTGATGTGAACATGGTAGATGTGATTATTCTGTGGCTTCCGTCTTTACTTCACTAAGCATATCACCTTGGTTGGATAGAGGTGTATTAGGTTAGGCATAACTCGCTGCTTGCAAGTGGAGTGGAAAGGCACCAGAGCTTTCCAGTTAAGCTACACCGAGCCAGCCTAACTGTAGCCTTTTCTGGAATTCTCTGTGATGTCATTATTCCATCTGTCCACTTGCAGTGGCAAACCTTGCCCATGCTATTGTATGTTACAGTAATGCGATTGTACACAAAATGTTTGCTAGCTTTAAAAAAAAACTGTACAGTGAGCAAGTGGTTTGAACCCCTTCCCCAAGGACTGTAAGGCTAATGGGACAGGCTAGTTTAGACTTTGGAAATGTGGGATTAACCAGACCTGTTGAGTTCATATTCTTTCTATAAATTATCCTCTTGGTCTGTCCATTTGCTTGATCTGCAAAATAATCTGGAGTAAAGGCAGTTAGGAAAATATTTTGCCTGCCTTTGTGTTTATTTTTGCATCATGGTATGAGCTTGTCTGTACTTGCATGCAAAAGAGGTGAGATGCTGAGCATATGAAGTTAGGGAGAGTGTGTTGTGTATGTAAAACATTTCCTTTACAATTTGCCAAATAACTTGTGCCTTTTAAAAAGAAAATCTTAAACATATCTTGCTACTCATGTAACTGAAGCAGCACTTTGCTTTGATTCCAGTGCACACTACATCTTCAAACTTGGATGAAAGCACGGGCGACTATCCACAGAATAGGTTCTCAAAGACCAACCTCAGTGGAATGAATTGCAGTGACTCTTTAGCACCAACTGTCATTGATCTCACTGGGACTTTTTCTGGAAGTGTTCCAAATAAATCATGCCCACAAATCTTTTCTGCCCAAACCAGCCATTGTAAGAATAAGAACATAAGAGCAATGTCTACCTTGTCCAGCATTCTGTTCACCATGGGAGGATCAGAGGCAGGACAAGAGCACAGTAGCACCCTCCTGCCCCATTGTCCAGCAACAAGCATACGTGAGCGTAGGGAAGTAGCATATGGATATCAGGACCAAATGCCATTGGTAGTCTTACCCTCTGTTAATTTGTCCACGACCCTTTTAAAGCCTTCCAAATTGGTGCCTGTCACTGCAGCTTGTGCTAACAACTTCTGTTGTTTAACTATGTGCTGTGTGTGACTTCCTTTTATCTGTCCTGAATTTCCCACCAATCAGCTTCATGGACTGACCCCTTTGGATTCCAGTACACCATGCATATTTTTGTTAGCTTACCTTTTTTCTAAGCTAAACAAGATGTTATAGTCTTTCCTCATAAGGAGCTGCTCCATCCCTTGATCATTTGAGCTGTCCTTCTCTACATTTTTCTCAGCTCTTCAATATCCTTTTTAGATGAATTGACCAGAACTGCACACAATATTCTAAACATGGTTGCATCATCAGGTTTGTATAACGGGTATGACACTCACTGTTATTTTTGATTCCCAATTATGCCTAACATAGAGTCTGCCTTTTGCATGACAACTTCACACTGAGTTTACATTTTCATCAAGTTGTCCACTGCAATCCCAGTCTTTTGTGAGTCAGTGCTATGTGAAATTCTATCACCTTGTATGTGAAGTTGGGATTTTGATGCTCATTCCCCAAGTTTGTGAGATCTGTGTGCAGTGTTAGCCACTGTGTGAAAAGAATGTTGGACTAAGATGGACCTTTGGTGTGATCCAACAGAACTGCTCTTATGTTGTGTACAAAGCTATCCAGATGGCACCATAGTATCAGCAATCTTTGCATGAGGTTGGCAATTCATCATGTGGTTTATACGCCCAGCACAAACCTAGCTGTCTGAGTTTGTGATGGATGTGTAGACCATCATGTAGTTGTGTGTATGTCCAAATACATGTGATTAAGTTGGGAAAGTAATTTTTAAAATACTTGAGTGAAAAATAGAGCCTATTGCATTTGTAAAAGTATAAGCAAAACTGAGACATCTTGCTTCCTTTTGAGGGCTATTTTATCAGAAGAATGAGAGCTTGAAGATACCCTTTGAGGAAGGCTTTATTGTAGATAGAATATGTTGTTAACACCTTCCCCAGCCTGGTGCTTACACTGGCTGGGACTAATGTTGCTTACAGGCCTATACCTCTAGAGGACACCAGGTTTGGGAAGGCTGCTTTCCTTTAAGTAGCGTGTGATCACTTGGACTAGGGGAGATTGGTTCTATCTGTAAACACAAGCAGGCATTACAGACGGGCCTACTGAGAATCTTCTCTTGAATTAAGGTGAAGTATCCAATTTACTTCAGGCTTCTTTGTGAAATAAGCAACCTGCCTGTAAACCCCAGTCAGTTGTAGTTAATGCATTTTGAGTGACATTTGGGTTAAAAGCTTATGGATAGTTTAGAAGCAGTAGTTGTACTAACATGCTGTCTCTTACATGCATGTTTGTTCAGAAGTAAGTCCTACTGTGTTCACTGGGCTTGCTCCCAGGTAAGTGTGCTGCGGTCTGTAGTTTGTGCTTTTCTATTCCTGTTTTGGCAGCTAGAAAAGGGCTCTGAAACTACGTGTTCATTTTGTAGTTGTCAAAGCAGCAACATCTATTCCATCCAGCCTCTGATTATGTACTATTCCTATAGTTACAATTCTTACTAAACTTGGACTGTAATCTGCTACATTTAATTCTACTTCCCCTTTCCAAGCTAGGGCAATGCAAAGCAGGTGAATGTGCATCATTTTAGATTGTTGATTGGTTCTTGACTGTATTGCTTTAGTTGGACTCGGCCTACATGTGACTTCTGCTTGTTTTGTAGTGTTTTGGGATTCCACTAGAATGTCAGGACCAGGGGCGGGAGGCGTTGACGCATTCGTCCAGGCATGCGTGGAAGTCAGAATAAGTGGACCAAGGGGAGCAAGGTGGGAACTGTTGTGTGGGTTTCAAAGGTGGACCTGAGTTTAAATTAACTTTTGACTTAATGATTAAAATAAAAAGTAAGTGCAATAAATGTACTTTGAAATTCAAAGCTGTGAATGGTTAAGAAAAATACACCTCAGTCTTTCCAGATTCTCCTTTTCCCCTGCTCCGCCCTGTTAATAAAGCTTGGCAATGACCAGCCTTTGTATGCAACTTTTTTTGTTTTAGGGGCAAGTACACATTCTGTTTGTGACAACCAAACGCATTATAAGCTCACCATAGCCCATTTTTGTTTTGTAATGTCCTTGTTAGAACCTTCTTATAGCAGCTGTGCCCACTTCATGCTCCCAGACTAACTCCCATGCTATGAGACTAATGTTAGCCATTGGTCATTTTACCTACATCTCTCATGAAGACCTGCTTTTGCAGGAATAAAGTGGAGTCAATGCTGCTCTCAGCTGCATTTGAATAGAGGATATGAAATTATTTTGTGATAACATGGAGTGCCAATTGAAAACTGAGCATTACATGCCCAACCACTGGACTGCAATAGCCCTTCTAGCCCGAGTAGAAAGTTTATGTAACCAGCAACTCTTCCAGCTACTAGGGACCAGTGATGGGCAAGTGATATGCTTTTAGCAGCTGGACACAGCAGACCTGGTTTTCTATATCTGAAGTACACAAAGCCTGCCTCTTTCTTCCATGACCCAATTTCTTTAGAAAAGCTATGACCTATTGAGTGTTTAAATACATGGCCTGTCCTTTTCTCCTTTCAGCCATGCTACTCCTCTTCATTTTGTTAGGAAATGCGCTTAGATGGCCATTCTCTCTCCATTGCTTCACACTGGGGAGTATCATTCCAATGCTTTGTTTCACTGTAGCACAAGAGTATACAGTTGCTAACAATGGTCCTAATATTTGCTGTAGCAACTGAGACTCTAGTTGCATCTTGGAACTATTCCTGGTATATAGATAAGAATGTTGGAGAACCAAGTTGAGGTACCACTGATGCAAACTCTTCTCTCTCTCCCTCTGCTGTTCATGCTTATTAAAGCTATGAATGGCCTTTGGGTAAAACTGGTCACCTAAGCACTGTACCCTATGGAAGAGATTGAAAAAAAATCAACCAACAATAAAGTTACCAGGATCACTCCAGAAAGTTGCTTTTTTAAAAAAAAATGTTTATAGTGTTTCTTAATTAGTGCAGCAAAATATATATCCCAACTCTACATTCCTTGAAGCTGTATTTACCACAAGATGTTTAACTTTCCACAAGCCTGCAATTTTAAAAGTCTATTCTTTCTTCAGAAGAAAATTGATATCCATAGCTACTTTACAAAAAGTCAATGGAAAAACTAAATGTTTAAAGGCCTGTATTTATTTCTAATTCACAGGAAAATGTTTGTTTTTGGCTTTCCATTTCATAGATCACTGCAGTTTTCTCTCCCTGCCTCCATTTCCTTCCCGCTGTCCAACACTTTACCATAAATGTTTATACAGATTGTTTTCACTTGTTTTCTTTCCCTGTTAAGTCCTTTAGCCTGAACCTTTCATTGTATTTTGGAGCTTTTTCTTTCATGTAAATTTGTACAGTGGGAAATATTGTCCAGTTCGGTTTAGAGAGCATGGAGACATAAAATTAAAGTTTGATAGCTGAAAATTGAGATTGAAGAATTATTTGTGTAAAGTTATTTAAAGAACTCTGTATTATATAAAAGGTTAAAAACTTCTATGTATTTGATGTGAATACTGCTATAATAAAGATTGACTGCATGGAGAAGGGTCTGCGTGAGCACATTAATAAGAGGATTCACAACAAATTTACAGATGTTGAAGAAGGGAATAGAAGTAGAGTCAGAGGGTCCCTGTAAGCAAACTAGTCCATCTCCCTCTGTCATACAGGAGGTTCTGAGTTCAGATCTCCCCAGCAGCTCACGCACGCCCCTCAATAATTGGATCCATTGTTGAACTGTTCCTACTGTAAAGCTTCCTCTTAATTTCAACAACCCTTCCCCCACCTTCCTCTAGCTTAAGCCCCTTAAATCTACTCTGTTTTCTGGTTGAGCCCAAAACAAGCCTTTACCTTTTTCATATCTAGCAGCCTTCCAGGTATTTGAAATGCTACCATGTCCCTCAGTTTTCTCCAAGTTAAACACATCCAAGTTCTTCCAACTTTTCCTCATAGGATCTGTTTACCATTGACCCCCTCTGAATCCATTCCAGTTTGTCCATACCATCTTCCCCCAGTGTGGTACCTTGATGGTTTAGACAGCCAGTGGCCATGGAGATGGGATTTACCATCCAAAACATCTGCAAAGAAGTATGCCAAGAATGGTATTCTCCTAAAAGGAAGAAAGATGCCCTAAATAAGGTTCATCTGTAACCTAACTACATATTAAAACTATTACATATCCCTTCTTTAGCAAATAGCTTTGTTTTCAATGCTGGGGTCTCAAATAGGAAATAGTAGTGTGGATTTAATGGCACTCAACTGCATTAAAGGGATGAGGCCAACAATTGGGCAGGCCTCATCCGAAGCTACACATTCCCCACCTTCTAAACCAGTCTGTATTGCTAAAGTATTTGCTTCCTCTCCACAGATGTCTTGCTTGCAGTTCAGTTCAACATGCAGTTCAGTATGCAACTAAGCTGCATATAAACAAATACCTCCACTATACAGTCCTTTCCCACAACAGTCCCTCAAACTAAATTGTTAAGCTCCTGAACACTTAGCAAGGATACTTTTTGACATTTTGTGTGCTTGAAAGAGCCTTTGCTTCCACACTAGAAGTTAAAGCAGAACTGTTATTTCTTATCTTCAGCACCCCAAAACGCTCCTGATGCCAAGGCTTCATAAGAGGCAGCGGATACATAACTGAAGAACTAGAACGGAATTTATGTTTGCAGATGCAAAATATCAACCTGTTATAACATTCCTTATAGAGGATTCTTTGTAGAAACATTGAGAATTTTCACAGACTCAATTTTGATCTGGCTTTTGTTAGCTTTATTTGCAATTTGAATTTCAAGTTGAAGCATTTATTTCTGTTGATTTCTTCTCAAATCTGCAAGTAATAAAGACAGGTGGTTAGTTTGGTGATTTTGCATCCAAGTGTAATAAATACAGAAACTACAGCCAGCAAGCAAAGCAGGATATGAAAAAGCCAAGCAAATCCTGCTATAGCACAATTCCATTCTCAAGGGCTGATTCCAGCACATTGCAAGGTGCAGACAAATCTGCTCTGAGGTTTTTTGAAACATCACATTTATTTTATTATTTCTAATCCACCCTATATTAGCCACATGGCTCCCTGGGCAGGTTACAACAATAAAACAGTATAAAAGTCAAATTACCATAAAATGGTAAAACAGTAAAAATGCACCCAGCTTAACAACTAGTGATTTCATAAAAGGTGTTCCACATTGTTAAAGTACCATTCAAAACAGCAAAATAAAAAGGTCTTCACCTGGCACCAAAAAAAGTATAAAGAAGGTGCCAGGAGAACCCCTCTGGGGAGCTCATTCCAGAGTCAGGGAGCCACTCCCAAAAAGCCTTTTCTTGTTGCCCGCCCCCCCCCCATTTCCTGAGGAGGGGGCTCCCTCAGAAGGGCTCAGATGCAGATCTAAGCTGCTGGGTAGATTCAGTAAGTGTTCTTTTAGATATCCTGGCCCAAATTTAAGGCTTTAAATACTCAAGTTAGCACCTTGAATTGGGCCCAGACCTCAACTGAGGCCCAGTGAAGATGGTAGAGGACTGGCTTTATATGATCGCATCTGCCAGTCCTTATTAGCAGTCAAGCTGCCCTGTTCTGGACCAACTGAAATTACTGAACCATCTTCAAGGGAAGCACCAAGTAAAGTGCATTCCCATAATCCAGGCAAGAGGTTACTACTGTGTGGATAACTGTTGCCAGGTCTTGTCTGTCCAGATACGGCTGCAGCTGATATATCAGTATCAGCTGATAGAAGGCACTCCTGGTCACTGAGTCTGCCTGGAATTCCGGGGATAATTCTGGATTCAGGTGCATGCCCAGGCTGTGAACCCTGTCCTTAGGGAGAGCCAGTGTGGTGTAGTGGTTAAGAGCATGGGAATGGGACTCAGACGACCTGGGTTCTAGTCCCCGCTCAGCCATGGAGCCAACTGGGTGACTTTGGGCCAGTCACAGACTCTCAGCCCAACCTAATCATAGAGAGGGATAAATGGGTACAAATCCAGTTATTCATATCACAAACATATTTACTCCTGAAAATGAGGATTAAAGGGAAAAGTAGTTAAGTCAAATGCACTTAAGTTGTATCTAACAAGAACGCCTCAATTTCTTAGCATTAGAGCCCCATACAGGAATGTTTTTACACTGTCCTTTAAAACCTACTTTGGAACAAACTATTCACATCTACTCTGCATCATCAGGAGGGATTCCTAGCTCTTCGTCAGTCCACTTGGAAGGATCTGGATAAGGAAAGTGACCCTGTTGAGACAGAGAAAATTAAAATTAGAACATCAACTTTTCAGTGCCTTAATATTTTTCTCCTTTAAATTTAGATGTTCATTCCTTATCAGCTACATGTATCCCATTAAAACTAACATTCAAATAAAGTACCAAGTTAAGTTTAAACCAGACTGTGTGCAGTGATCCCCACCCTGCAATCAAGTACTTCAACTACTTTTGACTATTGCAAAATTCCTGATTTTATATATAAAATCAAAAATCTATGACATTGGTTAACAATGTAAAAACAATATATCTTTCATGTCTTAAGGCCAGAAGTCAGCTAGGAAGAGGGCAGATAAAGCAGCCTTCCCTAACCCTGCTTCTTCAGACTTTAGAAAATGTCTGAACTCTGTTCATGCCCAACCAGTAGCTATGCTGGTTGAGGCTAATGTGAGTTTTATCCCACAATAACTCAAGGAGACTAGATTGGGATCAGAAACTTTTTGAAATTGTTTGGCAGTAGATTTTGGACAAACAAAATAATTTTTCATATAACACACTTTTAAGAAATTTGCTGCTACAAGATGTAATGGTTACTGGGTTTGATAGCTTTAAAGGTGGATTATGCAAATTCATACAGATGTTGTTTATTAGCAGCTATTTACCATGATGGATCACCTGTGCTTGGAGGAATGACTACTATATTTTCATGACTTGCTTGTGGGCTTTCTACAAATGTCCCATCCTATCTCTTAAAAGTTTGACCAAAAAAAGTTTACTTCCTTAGGAAGTCTGAAATCCCAAAAGACCACAAGTACATCTATGCTCTGCTGAAATATTCAAAGGCTGGTAACACGGTCAAAACACATTGACTTGCAGCAAGTAAATGTGAAGCCGCGAGGAGTACCAGGGCGAGTTGAATAGCATTTTCTTTTGAGGTAAACTGAAATAGTTTTTAAAATGGCTGACAATGTTGAATTCTGTTTATCAGTTTCAGAGCTTAAGAGACACTGTCAAAATAAACTTTAAGCTCCCTCTATCAAGCCCACCACCAGATAACAGGACAGAACTATTTATTATGCTTATTTGTCATCAGAAGAGTGATGCAGGTTCTTCTCAATTAACACTGGAACATGGCAACATACATTCAATACTTCTCAGGTGCTATTGTTCTATTTGCTCTTTTGACCCATTGGAGCTCTCACCAGCACAGTATCAGGCTCATGCCAGAAGTTCCACAGGATCCAGAACCACATAAAACTACTGAGCAGTTCAGCCTTGATCTTTTGGGACTGTGTCACCTCTGGGAACTGGCGGTAGCGAGGCTCAATATGTACACCTCCACTTGCACTGCAAGGAAAAAAAACCCCAAGACAGAAGCAAACAAGTCTAATGAACAGGACTGATCACATGCTGCAGAAAGGCAGGATAACTGCTTGGATGCAGAATGCCAATGACTGGTAATCTGAACATTCCTTTAAAAACATAGTTTTGTTCTTTGTTTACATGTGGCACAGTTGCAAAGATAAGCTTGATGTGAAAGACTCATGAAAAACTCCTACCAGAGCTAGCAATAGTGTGCCAAACAGACAAGTAAGCCAAGCTAGTATAGGTAGCTTTCTCTGAGCAGGTTTCCTTAGAAATAAAAACAAGTGATTTCATCCAACACAACCTCTCTGCATGTCTCTTAGAAACCATCTGTAAGCTGTATACAGCATCAAACCGAATATGGAGGCCTGCACTGAATAGGGTGTTGGACCTAATGACTTTATTCACCCCTTCCAATTCTACTGTTCTATTTTTATACTGCTTTAGAGCAACCCAAACACTTGAGTATTCTTTACCACCACTCCAGTATTATTCCTATATTGCAAATGTGAGGATTGAGGGAGAAGGGATGGAGGAATTCTCTTTTGTGCCTATATGCTCTGGGAAATAGCCACATACTTTTCACACAACCAGAATGCATTTACCCATTTGAACTCTACTACTAAATGTCTGTTTAGCATGCAGCCCTTTAGCAGGAGAAGCCCTTTTTATAGCACGGTGAAAGCAACAGTATTTCTTCTCTCCAAGGTTAATGTTTACACCTACACACACAGTATATTACAGCATTCTCCCAATCTGGCCTTGAAACACCAATAATCCTAGATCAACAGCCATTTTGGCTGGGGATAATGGGAGTTGTAACCCAACCCCTCGGAAGGGTGGCAGTTTGCGGTGTGTGAAAGGCTAGTACTGTATAGTCGAAGGGAGAAGAAAGGGAACAAGAGAGGTTTTGCGCTGGACCCGAACTGGGAAGATCTAGGTTCAAACTCTTCTCATCCATAAAAATCCAAAGTTCTTAGGAAAGTTCTTGGACTACAGTGTGTGTCCTACCTTGCAAGTTTGGTGTATCTGCTCTTTTCAGAATCAACTCTTCAGTTTGCACAGCTTCCTCCCTCCTACCCCCCACTTACCGCCGGAGTCCTGAGGTTGCGCCAGTGCCGCCTCTGGCACGAAGGAGCCGGGCGGCAAAGCACAACCTGCTGGTCACTAGCTGCAGGGACCCCGCCATCCTGGCAGCCGCCAGCGGAGTCCTTCAATTCCCACAATGTCACTTTCTGCTATTGGGCAGCAGGTCACTCTAAACATCCTGCGCTCTGATTGGCTCTTACAGACCGGAATCTCTTTGGCGCGTTCCAATGCGAGTTATGGGGTGAGGTAAAAGGAGGCCCAAGGAAATCATCCCCACTGGTGAAGATGAAAGTTCATTTCCTGTCTATTTCCTATGAACATTGAAGAAGAACACCAGCTGTCTCTCCAGCGCGCCCACCATTACCAGACATCAATTATTACCTCCCCCTTGGGTTCGGGAATAAAACGGGCCATCTTGGGAAATACCAAAACTGTAGCCATAGAGAGGTGTTGCGTGCTTAATTGCATTTATCTCACATGTAATGGTGAATTGGGCTTCTACTCCAGATGAATAGAAAGCTATTAGGAATTCAGAAGAGGTTCATATTATTTTAAGACTTCATAAATACAAAGAAGACTTCCAGCTGCTGCCGCACTCCCATGCAGGAGTAAAGGATGGTTCCGTCTGGAGTGCCCGGTTGCCGGGCAACAGACAGGACTTCAGTATCTTACAACAGAAGAAAGGGGAGTTCAGTTGAGTTTGGGGGAGAGGGTGACACCAAGTGTGCTTGCCGCGGGGAGGAGAGATACAAGGTGAATCCATCTGTAATTTTGTGGCGTCCAAGAACTTAGATTAACTCCAGCCGGAAAACGTTCGGTCTAACTGGTTAGTGGGGCCCCTTATCCCCTGTGACTTTTTTCCTAAGCTTTCTAGGGGCTATCCGTAGTACTGAACTCTATTCCCAAAATACTTTCACCATGCATGTCTCCTATAAAGCTCAATATAAAATATGACCTCACTTCTGATGCACAAATCAATAGATAGAATTTTTCGTTGGTTAAATCATACGATCATTGACACAAAACCCCTCTTTTCTAGGAATCAGCGTGTGTGCAATCTTGAAAAGAAGCTGACCCTGACCAGGCACCATTCCAGAGAAAGCTAGTTGGCACTTGACAGGTAACAGCTCAAACAAAGGGGAATTCACACCGGTCCACTCCGTCCTCCTCTTTATGTAATAGCACCCCATTCTCCCCCCTCCTTTGGAGCATCTTTGCTATGCAAGTGGGAAAGATCAAGCTATTGCAACTTTTTACTCTTGTAACCTATTGGAAAGTGTTAACTGTTATCTGTAACCCTGTAATGATCAATATATAAAAAGGGCCAACTGAGGAGTGCTAAGGTGCACCATCTGGATCGCTTCGTTGGTAACCGGTTATTCCTGAGAATAAATCTGTTGAAAGAAAATCTTCCCCTGTTGTGTATTTTGGGCATGCGCACACCAGCACACAGACCACTTGGTTTACCCTTCTTTATTTGCTTGCCTTCAGGAAAGCACAGGATTAGGAAAAAAAGAAAATTGTATTGCTGGAGCAATCTAAGGGCAATCTAATATTCAGTTCTGGAGAGCAGCCTTTGGAAGCTCTCAAACAGGACATGAGGTAGATGGCAGTTCCTTTTGTCCATACTCCAAGGGGTGCTACCTCTGTAGATGGAAGTTCCATTAATCTAATTAATCTAAAATAGCTTCACTGATAGGCAGAGCAGTCCTTAGTGGGATTGAGGCCAGGGGGCAATGAAGGAAGAAGTAGCAGTTTGTCAGCATTTTCTTATCCTGTGTAGTTCATTGTGGGTGTTTTTTTTTTTTTCTGGTGTTGTGTTGTGTTTGTTCAAACAATGGGGAAATTATTTACACCAACTGCAAGCCAGCTTGAACAGGGTAAATTCTGGGGACTTCCAGGTGGACAAAATGGTTTTAGCTGAAATGCACCATTTCAGGATTACCCCCAGCAGCAGACTTATGCCTGTATAGACATTTCTGCAGACATGCTTTCCTTCCACTGACAAAGTGTTAACAAAGAGTATATTATGCATGGTGCAAAGTAGTCATTATTTTTGACAGATGAAAATCTAAATAGATTAAGAAAGATGGTTTTTTATCTTTTAGTGCCAATAATATTATATTAAAAATCTATGCAAAATACTGGAATTATCTCTAATTCCAATATGTTGTATTTAGTTGCAGTAGAATTGTTTGGGTGAGGACAGGGAAACCAATAACAATATGGGTGCAGAGAAATTTGACGAAATTCTAACAGCATTGTTGAGGGGGTGAAAGTACTAAGGCAAGTGAAACTTTGCCTAAAATGTTTCTGTGCTTTGACAGTTTGTCTTTATGTGTTCGTTTGTAGTAACAGACATGTCCAGGTTTTCTCCTCTTTATCTTGGTACCTTACCCTTACTGGCTGACATTAATGAGCAGAACATAGCCTTTGTCATCTGTGCCTCAGAAAATAAGCCCTCCAGTCTGCATATCCTGAAAGAACTTCTCATAAAGACTCTTTTTTCACTGGCCAGCAAATCATTGGACTCCATGTTCAACATTGTCAGCTGTACCAGCAAGGTAACAAAAAATCTTACTATCAAATGGTACAGAAGAACCATGCCACTCTAGGATAGCCATGCCCAGTGGGGAGTAGATGTGGGTGATGGAAGTTGTCATCTAACACATGTTCCTTTTCTGGATGTGGTCCTTGAGGGGGTGGTTACCAGCCAGCTCCAAAAGCTCTTGGATTGAAGACTTAGTATGTGGAACCACTGGATAGCCCCACTGTATTGGGGATTAGGCTGGGATTTGGCATGGAAGCAGCCTGATGACCAGCTTTGGGAGAGAGATGGGAAATGTGATCTTGTTGATTGTCCTTGATTCTCAGTGGCTTTCAGTACCATCAACCATAGTATTCTTCTGGGATGATGGTCTGAGTGGAAGGTAATGTATTGCATTGGTTTTGCTCCGACTTTGATGATCAGCTCCAGGAAGTATTGCTTGATCCCATGGATTGTCCAGTGGGTGTGGTCATCCAGAGTCTGAGTGTGCTGTCATTGGTACGTTGCTGATGCACTGTTCTATTTCTCATTTTCATCTTCAACAAGTGTGGCTGTAGATGTGTTGAAACAGTGCCTGACTATGATGATGGATGGCTAATACTGAGAGTCATTCCAGGCAAGACTGAGATGCTGTTAGTGGGTGGTTATTCTGTCCAGACACAGGGTGCTGAACCTGTTCTGGATGGAGTTGTGAAGGATCAGTTTTCTTAGCTTGGGGGTTCTTCTGTAGCCACCTTTGTCACTTGTGGCTCAGGTAGCCTCATGGCACAAATGCCTTCTATCAACTTTGATTGCCCAACTTTACCCCTGCCTGGGCAAGGAGGCTCTTGTAATTTCACGTTACATTACTGCAGTGTACTCTGGGTGGGGCTGCCGTGGAACACTGTTCAGAAGCTGTAGCTTGTGCAGTGTGGTAGCCAGACTGGTAACGGGGACAAGAAAGTCCACACGTCTAGGCTTGATTTTGGTCTGCTTCTCCTGGCTGCCTGTATGTTTCCATGCTCAAGTCAAGGTACTGGTTTTCACCCATAAAACTTTACACAGCTTGAGACCACAATACCTGATGGCATGAACTTATCCACATACCATGTGTATCATCTAAGGCAGGGGTCCTCAAACTTTTTGAGCGGGGGGCCAGTTGAAAGCTGCCAGTGCTGGGCGTGGGCCGGAAAGGTGGTGCCTGGTCGGGCGTGTGGGCCGGTGAGGGGGCGGCGGTGGGACCGGCGTGTTCGGGCGCGTGCACTGGGGCTGGGGCGGGGCCGGGGCACACGGCAAGGCACGGGCAGGTGTGCGCAGCGAGGGGAGGCAGCGTGGGGGCAGGCATGCGCTGTGAGGCAGGTGCACGAGGCAGCGGCTTGCTCGCGTGGAGATCGTTTTCTCCGAGCGAGCAAACCGCTGCCTCCCGCGTGCGGGGCGAGGTCGGCGGCGGCGGGCGCGCAGCGGGTCCAAATGGGCATGGCGGGCCGAATAAATGGGCATGGTGGGCCAGCCCCAGCCCGCAGACCGTAGTTGGAGGACCCGTGATCTAAGGCTTTTTTCCACTCAGAAGGCAGCAACAAGGGAGTGGGTCTTTGTGGAATGAGCTCCCAAACAAGACCAGCTGGCACCAAAAGTGCTACATTTGCAGCACCAAGTTAAGGCCTTCATCTTCTTCCAGGTATTCCATAGCGTATGATGAGGTTTTAGGCAGGTCCTCAATTTTTTGCATTATTGTTTATAATTGTGTCTCTGTGCTGTCTGTTTACATGTTTGTATGTAAATGGCTTGTTTGTTGTACCATCCCAGGGACCAGGTCCACCTCATTTCCAAATCCAAGTATATTCAGGGTGAAAGAAAACCCCTTGTGTCAAAGATGATATACATTTTTTTAATGCAGTGATGAGATTTGGATGCAGAATATAAACAAGTGAGAGAAATACAGCTACTTTCCTTATCTGTGGCTGTATTAGTTCATTGAATACGTCAAGGATTCATGGGTCTCGAAAGATGCCTGTGTGAGTGATACAGCAGTTCCTCTCCAAACATCAGTATACACATAGGCTCTTACCCCCATTCCTAGATGACACAGGAAAGTTGAAGCCACTTTGGTAAAGGAAACACTGTTGGTTCTTACCACAGAAGCAACTCTCATCTAAGGAATATGCTCAGGGAAAGTAACTTCAAGGCAATTTTCTCTGGTGTCTTTCTTAACAAACTGAAGGTTCCATATATATGGGCTTTTGGACACTGGGAAAGTTCACAACACTAGCTCTTGAACCTTAATAGCTTCCTCATACAATACATAATATACATTTATTTTTGAGGGTGTTAAACTTTATAAAACTACCAGGTATCTTTGGCCATTGGGCAGTATAGAAAAGTAATCACTGAAAATGAAAATCAAGAAGGTCCCCAAAATGAGGAAGGCTGCACTAGGGGCAGTTCTGCACAAACACGTTTGCAGATGATTAGCTCTCTGGATTAGAACAACCATCATCTGCAAGGTACATGCATATTTATTTACTTAGAATACTGATGTCCTGCTTAACCAGTTAACCATTTGTGTTTCTTCTCCAGGTGTTAAAATGGCAGACTGGACTGGTGAAATGTTCCCTTCCCAACATCACTAAAGCAGCAGCCTGGATCCGAGCCCTTCAGGTCAAGAATGCGGACGGGACCTTGAGTGCTGTGGCAGAAGCAATGGAGGATCCCACCTGCCAAGCAGTGTATCTGTTTACCAGTGGGCTGCCTGAACATGCTGTGGAGGAACTCTATAGACACCTTCAGGAGACACAACAAGCATTCCCAGTGCATGTTGTATACTTGCCAAGAAGTGGAGAGGAAAGTCAGAGCAGCTTTCAAAGAATATTGGAGAAAGCAGCTAATATGTCTGGAGGTTCCTTCCAAGCAATACGTCTCAACTCTGGAGAGTCTTCAGATGAGGTAGAAGCCCCATTAAAAATGGTGACACTGCATCTGTGGACTGGTTCACACATGTATGTACAGCAGTTGCTCTTTATTATTTGATGAGTGAACCTCAATCCCCCAGATTGATGAACTCAACTCCAGCAAAAAATGTGTGTTCGATGATGCATACTTCTGCTGTTAGGTTAAGAGTTATTCACACAGCCACATCATTAGATATGTTAACCACTGAATGATAAACAAGTGTGTGAATCAATCCAGTGAATCGAATTGCTGGGAATCTGATTCACTGGAAAATCTAAAATGTCATTCAAGTCCTAGCAATACAAAATATTGGAAGGGGTGACCCTTGAGATCAGTTGCTGTTCTGTAATTATGAATTTCTGAAATCTTTCCTTTAGGATAATCCTGGCTGCACTACCAGCATTCAGCATTCAGATTGTGTGAGCAAGCAGTGCTGTTCCCCTCTGCTGACAGGCCATCACTCAGTACAGTAAGTTTAAGGGCTGTGAATATTTTAGATACTTAGATCAATTTGCTAAATTTAGGAGGGAAATTGAAGAGCAAAGAGCACTCTTCAGACCTGGCTTATTATTACGTTCTTCCTGAATAATCCTGAGCATCCTAATCTACTGTGTCCACAGATTTCCCTTGAGTATATGGAATCCAGATTCCTTTAACACATTTCTGAGAAGCTCAGTAAAGAAGGATTTAGCAGACTCATCCCCAAAGATTCACAGTTTGCTAAGGGGGATCCGAGTCCTGGCTAGGAAAGAGACGGATGGGTATTACTACCTAGGTCATATTGTTCAAGAGGTGAAGGTAGGTTTACTTACTTAAATCACAGTTTCTCAAATGCTGGGCTCTGGCTTGTTTCTGCAAGGCTTATCATTTCCGTTCTCCTCTTCATTTCTAGGACCTGTATTCTTTCACTGGGTCAGAAGCATACCAGTACTGTTGTGTAGTCTCTTCAAAAGAAGGGCTTGCAGACTCCCTACACGGCATTCTTAAATTCTGTTCATATACACTCAGGCCAGGCTCCCACAACACAACAAACCACCCTGCATGGGTTCCATGGCTCACATTTTTTTACCATGATCTAAATGGCAGGAGATGAGTAGGTTAACCATGGTTTCCATCCTCCCTACTCATTTTCCTACTGTTGACCCATATCCCATCAGTCAGTTCACCTAAAATTCAACCTCAAGTGCATTGCTTCTGACTTATGTTGCCAGTTTCTTCCTCAGTACTCTGCACATACAGGCTAACTCTGCAGTGGCTCCCTCAGTTGCCACAGGGGACTCTGTGGAGGTTGTGTACCAGGCCCATGGAAACCATGATCCTCATGTTCCGTCAACACAACAAGCCATGGTAGCACAGAGAAACCATAGAACAAACCATGGTTTCTTATTGTGGTTTCTAAAGACCAAACTTAGCATGTTGAAATACTACAACTGGGTTTGGAAAACACAATTGACCACCCATGGTAAAAAGCTACCATGACTTGTCGTGCTGTCTGATCCCAGCTACGTTCTATATATGTCTGCCTGTATAGTAACCATTAATGTGAAAGACTGTGTGAGCATTGAGCCTGGACCACTGGTTGCTTAGGGCTAAACAGCACAGTGGTTAACCCATGTCTTGTTGACATACAGCTTTGATTTGGAGTATGAAATCTATGAAAAAGCTGCTTGTGGGTTGCTGAGTAAAAGAGGAAGAGACAAGTGCATTGTAGACCCAGTCTAGGCATGAGGCCATGGTCAGACAATCAGTGGGAAAAGGTGCCACAGGCGTCTTTCTCCCACCCCGCACATGAATCAGTAGTGTGCAACAGCATTTGCCAGATACCTCATGGCACATGGCTTCCCATGTTTCCCAGACCCAGCTAGCTGCGCAGAGGAAGTGCTTCAAAACCATCCCAGAACCCATGGCTTGTGGTGTCTAGTGATGACATCCCATTTGTGGAGACTGGTACTTCAAAAAGCAGAGGATGGATTGATGCTTATTAGGTGACTTCCTCAAGTTTACCTGGCAGGATTTCTGACTTAATTTGGCAGGGCTCCAGGGACTGTGTTCTAATTGAGTTTGAAAAATCCCAGCGATCACGGAAAGGCAAGGCTCAGTTTCTAATGCAAGAAACCCCCCTCTATGATGTCATTCATTATGAGGATGCCAGGTGGCAGCCACTGACTCCAGGGGATGGGATCCTGGCCCCATGGGAGAAGAAAGGTGAACGATACGGCCCAGGAACTGTCCTCCAGGTTGCAGAGACCGAGGTGCTGCATTCAGGTACTGCTTGCTTTGTCCCCATTTCCAGTGCATGTTTCTGTTACACGCCGCTAATGCATAAGGACACTGTGCCTGCTCCAAATGATCATGTGTGCAGCTTAGCTATGGCCCATTTAGAACTGCCCCACTTGCCCCTGAGAATCTCTGAAAAGCCCTAATACATTGGAACGCAAGCAAAGAAATCCTGGCCAGCTGAGATAGGATTTCCCGGAGGATTTCCCAGATTTCCTTGTGCAGCTGCATCCAAGTCCTAGACAAGCAACTGAACAGATTGTGGCTGCTTCTAAAATGCAGCTCTTCATATATTTCTCTTTACAGCCTTTAAAAACAGCTGGGTGCTGGTTAATTTTTGGAATGGCCAGACTAAGAAGGTATCTGCAGATGTTGCTGTGAGGATCCCTCCTTCTTTAAGTGAACGCATCATCCTTGAGGTTCAGATGCCATTAGCAGCCAGGCAGATGCTAGTGGAGCAGAATCCAGATTATCCCTATGTTGTCCCTCCTGGCTACAGAGCATCCGGGCCTTGCAAAAAGAATCACTTGCACTGGCATGATGTTTCAGCAGTATGGAGTAGAGACACCAGCTACACCTGTACCCACCTCCCCTGCTGCTATTTTGGCTCCTCTTCGTGGGAGCCTACTAAGTCTCCACTGTGTACAATGCAGCCAGATGATGCCTTGATCCCAGGAACCAATCTGACAAAGGAAGAACTGAACAAGAAGATAGAAGAGCAGCTTTCAAAGGGCAGACTGCCCATTTCAGAAAATGATGAGAATGAGATGAGAGAGTGGCAAGAGAACAGCAAGCTAAAGCAAGGAAAAAACTTCACAGACCCACAGTCTGGTGCAGAGACAGACAGCAGAGTTACAGAACCCAACAAGGTACTGCATCACATCAACTAGTACAGTGTGAGCATTGCTAATGACAACTTCAGTGTATCCTAAACCTTATTCCAATTATATCTAGTAAAACATTTGTTTTTAGAGCACTATCACAAGATATTGCCAGGATTGGTTTGAAAGTCAGAGAATTTTGTCATAATATTCATTAACTATCAAATCACAAGAATATGATTCATTTGAATGGATGGATCGGTGGACTCCAGATCACTCTCCTCTGCCCGCCTCTCACAACCTCCACTCGGGTGTAATTTTCAAACCAAGCCTAGATGTGCAAAATTCCGTGCACACACTGTACATTTCCAAGAGGAACTGCAGGAATCAGCAACATCATCCAAGCCCACATGCATTGCATTGTATGTACAGTGATGCTATTTGAACATGATATTCCTGTATGGATAGCAGGGAGTCCCAGAATAGGGCAGATATGTTCAGAGGGTGAAGGAGTAAGGCACATGCTCATTCCTCAGCATATATAGGGAGGTCATCGTCTAATCCTGCCATTCATAGTAAAGAAGGGATATATTCTATAAATTTTCTTCTCCAATGTGAGTCCCTCCAAATATTTTGGACTACATGGCCAATATCAGAATTGTAGTTCAAAACATCTGGAGGGATCCAGGTTGGGGAAGGCTAGTCTGAACAATGACCCTATTTTTTTAAACATACTGTGCTGCCATCCATTTTATACACAGTTGTACAAATATACATTTATGGGCATAAAACATTCCCAAGGACCAGGCCATGATCCTACTATAATCATACATACATACGTATGGCTGGAACGATTGCCTCTTCTTTGCATGGTTATCCCACCTCTCTGCCCTCTGGTGACTAAGGGGAAGGCAAGTTGTGGCCCTCCAGCTGTTTTGGCTCACAACTTGCATCAGCCCTAGCCAGCATAGCCAATGGTTACCATGGGAGCGAGGCCAAAATATCTGCCAGGCCACAAGTTGCCCACCCATTCAGTATTGCAAGGTCATTTGGACAGAGACCTGTCCTCTCCTTTGCTGCTGCTGCTCCTTCTCATTACTATTTGCTTTCATATTGAGTTTTGCTTTTAGTTTGTATCATTGTAGCAAACACTGCTATAGAAACAGGCAGGCATAGAAAGGTGAGAGGAAAAAGCAGGGAAAGGATAGGCAAAGGAATTTTTGTATGGTTCTTTGTGAAACAGAACCTATATGGATGGGGAGATGATCATGAAAATGATGAAATAACATAAACTCATCTAAGCAGTAAGATTTGCTTTCTACTCAGCCCAGGATGAATCAGTGTTTTCAGTGTTGCTTGTCCTGAGTGCTGAGTCCTGAGTCTTTATTGATATTGGCAGGTCCAGCAGGGAGTGTTGGCTTCAGAAGATCCAAGGGAACGCAGAGGAACCATGGTTGATGCAGCTGTCAACAGACGCAAATACATAATTCCACAAAAACAGAGAGGTACATAGCAGTTCATCATTTCTGCCCATTCTAAACACATTGCAACCATAAAAACCATGCCAGAACACCTCGTTTTTCTAACCCTAACCCTATCCTGGCGCACACCCCTAACCCTAAAATAGGGAGAAAATTCAATTGAAAAGAGGGAGATTTTAAAAACGCAATCCTTGAGTGGCTTTTTCTGCACAGCTCATCATTTCTGCCCATTGTAAACACGTTGAAACCATCAAAAGCATGCCGGGACACCTCACTTTTCTAACCCTAACCCTACCCTGGTGCACACCCCTAACCCTAATATAGGGTAAAAGTTCCACTGAAAAGAGGGAGATTTTGAAAACACATTCCTTGAGTAGCTTTTTCTGCACAGCTCATTATTTCTGCCCATTCTAAGCACGTTGTAGCTATCAAAACCATGCCAGGACACCTCTTTTTTCTAAACCTAACCCTACCCTGGCGCACACCCCTAACCCTAATATAGGGTGAAAGTTCCATTCAAAAGAGAGATTTTTAAAACTCCATCCTTGAGTGGTTTTTCTGCACAGCTCATCATTTCTGCCCATTCTAAACACGTTGAAACCATGAAAGCATGCCGGGACACCTCACTATTCTAACCCTAACCCTACCCTGGTGAACACCCCTAACCCTAATAAACAGGTAAACTTCCATTGCCAATAATGCAATTTTGAAAATGCCTTCCTTGAGAAGCTTTTTCGGCACTGCTCTTCATTTCTGCCCATTTTAAACACATTCCAACTGTCAAAATCATGCCAGGACACCTCATTTTTCTAACCCTAACCCTACCCTGGCGCACACCCCTAACCCTAATATAGGGTGAAATTTCCACTGAAAAAGGGGCGATTTTGAAAACACCTTCCTGAGTAGCTTTTCCTTCACAGCTCATTATTTCTGCCCATTCTAAACACGATGCAACCATCAAAACCATGCCGGGACACTTCGTTTTTCTAACCCTAACGCTACCCTGGTGCACTCCCCTAACCCTAACATAGGGTGAAAGTTCCATTCAAAATAGGGAGATTTTGAAAACGCAATCCTTGAGTGGCTTTTCCTGGGTTAGGGCTTGGAAAACAAGGTGTTCTGGCAGGATTTTGATAGGTAGAATGTGTTTGGGATGGGCATAAATAATGAGAAGAGCCGAAAAATCTGCTCAAGAAAGGCTTTTTCAAAATTGCATTATTTTCAATGGAAGTTTACCCCTTTATTAGGGTTAGGGGTGTGCCCTAGAGTAGGGTTAGGGTTTTGAAAACGAGGAGTCCTGGCAGGATTTTGATGGTTGGAATGTTTTTGGAATTGGCAGAAATGATAAGAAGTGCCGAAAAAGCTGCTTCAAGAAGACATTTTCAAAATCGCATTATTTTCAATAGAAGTTTACCCCTTTATTAGGGTTAGGGTTGTGCACGAGGGTAGGGTTAGGGCTTGGAAAAAGAGTTTCTCTGGCATGATTTTAATGGTTGGAATGTGTTTGGAATGGGCATAAATGATGAGAAGAGCCGAAAAATCTGCTCAAGAAAGGCTTTTTCAAAATCGCATTATTTTCAATAGAAGTTTACCCCTTTAATAGGGTTAGGGGTGTGCACCAGGGTAGGGTTAGGGCTTGGAAAACGAGGTGTTGTGGCATGATTTTGATGGTTGGAATGTGTTTGGAATGGGCAGAAATGATGAGCAGGGCCGAAAAATCTGCTCAAGGAAGGCTTTTTCAAAATCGCATTGTTTTCAATGGAAGTTTACCCTAGTATTAGGGTTGGGGGTGTGCCCGAGGGTAGGGTTAGGGTTTGGAAAACGAGGTGTTGTGGCATGATTTGGATGGTTGGAATGTGTTTGGAATGGGCAGAAATGA